ATGTGCTACCCCACTATAGCCTACAACAGCTATGTCATATTTATCTGACACTCACGACCAAGGAATGTATCCATTTACCAAAGGCGCAGACTACATCCTGCTAATCGTCTACGTCGACGACCTACTCTACATCGGCTCCACCGACGACGTCACTACCTGGTTCGAAGGGGAGCTGCAGAAAGACCTCACGCTCACAGTCTCTTCTACCGTGACCCAGTACCTCGGGCTCAACATCCGCAAAAAAAGAAAATGCGATCTACCTAAGCGCCGAGAAATACGTCGACACCATCGCCAAACGTTTCTCACTCACACCTACCGCCATCACCACGCCATACCGCTACACGGCAGAAAGCGACAAAGGAAATTCCGCTCCACTCAAAACTGCCGGAATACGTGACTACCAGAGGAAGCTGGGCTGCCTCCTCTTCGCAGCCGTCACCTGTCGCCCGGATTTGTCCTACTCTGCAAGCCAACTCGCTACCTACCTCAAGAAACCTGAAGCAGAGCATCTGGCGGAGCTCGATCACGCACTACACTACTTTGTAAGCACCCTGACGATCGGCGTGACTTACCACAAGAGCGAAGCTACGACGACGAAACTAATCGGCTACGTCGATGTCGATCATGCCGGCGATTCAGATAATAGGCGCTCTCGCACTGGCTACGTCTATCGTCTCGAGCCTACCGGATCTATCTCCTGGCAGTCAAGCAAGCAGGAACTAATTGCTCTATCTTCAGCTGAAGCAGAATATATCGCCCTCTGCTCAGCCACCAAGGAAGGACTCTACCTTCGCGAGCTGATGGAAGAAGCAAAGTTAGCCGAGTTACCCAACTTCACCCTATTCTGTGACAACCAATCTGCAATTCGCATCGCCAACAAAAGCGGATTCGCGAACAGAACGAAACATATCGCTCTGCGATACTTCTTCGTGAAGGACGAGATCGTGAAAGGAAAACTCGAATTATCCTACTGTCCCACGTCCGAGATGGCAGCCGACTACTTGACCAAGAAACTCGGAAAACAGAAGTTCGAGTACTGCATGCTGCTGGCTGGACAAGGCCACGTCACCATCAGCGACACTCCAGAAGCGAAGGGGAGTGTTGGGAATAATAAGTCTTAAAACGCCTCTATCGTGTCGAAACTCAGGACACTAGCGAAGCAGTCCGAATCGAAGCACCACGAGTCAACCCTCGGAGGTTGAGGTAACCGCCTGGAGGTTACATGAAGGTCAAAGGTCAGCGACCTTTGACTTGACAAATACAGCACGACAGCAAGGACACACAACTGACTCGCCATTGAGCAGTTGCCCGAGTCGCACTGTATCGAATCGCAACAGCAAAAACAGTTTAATTATATCTATTCGTATTCCTTGTACTCTTATATAAAGCCTTGTATTTGCTTGTTTTACTTAACTTACTTTGCCCTCACATACTAGCGCAAGGTGGTTCAAGGACCTTCATTTAACGCTTCCGCTATTACAACTCTACTCAAACTTAAACTCTACAAAGATCCTAGGGCACCTCAGCCCAACAATCACGAGAGTCCTGAGGCTGGTGAGGCTGTCCATGGTATCTGGCAAGCATACCATGTTAGCCCAGTTGCTCAAAGTCAGCTGCTGCAGTCTTGAAAGATTATCAATTATAAGCGGAAGCCGATTCAGGTCTGGGAAACCAAGCAGGTGGAGGGATGTCAGACTCAAGAGATGGCAAAGGGATAACGTGAAGGCATTTTGATCCTCATAACCACCCGTGCAGCTCGCTGGCCAACTCAACTCAAGGGACGTCAGTTTGCTCCAGTGCTGGGTCAGGGATGGAGGGACATTGACAACACCATCGCAGTAGGTGAAGGAGAAGGTGCGCAGAATGGAGAGCTTGGAAACGGCATCTGGAAGATTGGAAAGACCTTTGAGCTGGCTCAGCTCGAGATGCTCCAGTGGCGACAGACAATCCATCCTCTGTGGAAGGTCCATCAGTTGTGAACAATTCTTAAGTATCAGCACGTGGAGGTTAGAAAGGGTGCAGAAGGAATCAGAGATCGTGTGGAAGGACTCGCAGTTTTTAATGGCTAGCGTCTTGAGAGAAACGAGGCCTGATACCCTTGCTGGGAGGGATGCCACCCTGATACAATACACAACCTCAAGAACTTGCAAAGAACGGAGATCGAAAAAGGAATCCGGGAGTTCTACAATGAGATTATTGTGATGACAGTAAAACTCTCGGAGGTTCTGAAGCTGGCCGATGGTGTCAGGAAGAGCGATTAAACCATCCAGTTCGCAAATGCTGAGTTTGACCAATGTCTTCAGCTCACCGAGGGAATCCGGTAGACTCTCTAACGGTCCGTCATTTCGGAACAGCTTCAGCTCGGTCAGCCCCGTGACACGTGACCGAGTGATTCTGGGAAGTGGTGAATCCACCTTGCGGCGAGTGTCAGCTTGGTCAGGGAAGATAAATGGTCGAAACTATCAGGATAATCGTCGAAGTTGGCGTTCAGATAGACCTCCGTCAGGGATGAAAGATTGAAGAAGGATCGTGGCATCCCACAAATGGAATCGGATTGATGTGTAATGATGTCAAGGGAGAGGTATTCCAGCTCAGTGCACGCTCTGAAGAGGGCATCTGCACTTTCACGCGTCAACCCTTCACCACAATCGCTGTTCAGGTCAAGATAAGTTAACTCAGGACAGACAGATTCTAAGTCTTGAAAAAACTCGTCATTATGCGGATCTAAAACGCAATTGTTTATCGTGAGAGAAGACAACCTTTTGAACTGGGAAAGGGATGCCCGAAGGTCACCATCAACTGTAAGGCTAGGCGAGCAGTTAGCGATGGACGTCTGTGCCAGGGCTGACGTTTCAAATTTAGGTACCCTGATGTCCACCAAAAAAAAAAAAATTAACCCTGAAGGCATATTTTCCAGAAAAGCAGCACCCTGATTGCTCAGTGTTGGGAAGTTATACAGGCTGAGTGTTCAGGGTCGAGAAGTCACGATCAGGGTACGTGTAGTAACGCGCTGTGCATTATCGAAACTGAACTTTGATGGCGAATCTGTTCTGTGAAAGGGCGAATGTGCAATGTCAGAGACATTTTACTGTGATTGGTCAAGACCTTTGTGCTCTGACAGCTCAAATCTGCTGTGTCAGGGCCATTTCGCTGTGATTGGGCAAATTCGTTGCTCCGTACGGCGCGAATTCGCTTTGTCAACGCGAATTTTTAATGACGCTGGTGCTGTGACCAGTCAAGACAGGTTTGACTCACCAGTTTGACCCTCACTAGTGAACCTCGGAGGTGGGTGTATCGAAAGGAAATTTTGAGGAAGCTTCCTCCCGATAAACTTGCATGCAGGGACCACAGAACGCATACTCTGTAGTGACAGACTCCAGAAATGACTAACACTGAGGCCTATTACACTGAATCAGGGGCCATAAGACAATAACTCTGAGGCTCTCAGTGATGAAAATTTGACTACTCTGGAATTCCATTTTTCACAAACTCGATGGTCTGATCTGTCAGACTAATCAGACTATTTACTCTGATAGCGTCAGCCCTGGTCTGTGCAAGGTAAGCTAGGCGGTTCCAATGTTTGCAGACCAATGCATGATTAAAGTAGCTAGGCGACTGCGTGTTTAGGCAACGGAAGACATGGCACATGAGCTCGTCTGGCAGTATATTAAATGATGCTCGCAACATAACTCTACTACCACAATGCAAGCCAGGGGCGACTAGATAATTATATAAACTACGAACTCTATTACAGTTCCGAGAAAAGAGGTGAGAAACACACGATTGTCCTGCGTGGATGGCGTTGTTATAGAGCAGTGACGGGAGTGCCTCGGGGCCTTGAGTCCTGTTCGAGGTTTGTGCTTTCTGCTCGTTTCGCTGCCTTAGATCTGCTAAGAGGAAAAGTTTGGCGGGACGATAGACTTCACACGGCTTGCTAGGGCGCTGGGAGCCTGGGACATGCGAGTTACGGCGCGCATTTCTTGGGTAATGACGGTTGACTTCAGCTCACGGTTCGGCTCATGGCGAAAACACTTACGAACATTGAGTGTCGTCGCGTACAGCTCACGACAATCGTGATGTCGTCTATGTCAAGCCTTGGTGCTTTCGTAACCTAAATCGAAGTTACCATGTTCCCGTCTCAGTTCCATCATCTCCTACCGTTGGTTCGCGTGGATAGTGATTAAAAACGAGTCCTCATATTCTTGCCGTCTCAGTTCCGTTCATCTCCGACCGTCAGTTCGCGATGGATAGTGACTACGGTAGGATGAAAATGAGCCGTCAATGTTTGCCTGATTGGTGTGGCGAAATCCATCCAGTATCGGGGCTGCCAATCAAGGTGCAGAACGGACCTCGGTGCAGAATGGATGAATGGATTCATCGTCGTCGAAAATTCCGTAGCTCGCACAAAATGGCTCCACTACAAACAAAAACGGTTGAGCGATCGCACAGTTACGGACGATTTTACCAGAGCCTATATACCGTACCAAAACAGGCTGCAGGGCATACGAGAACTTGAATTCAGCCTAAATATACACCACCTCAAACTCATGTCTGGCCTTTGAGAGCTGAGCCAAACTGCTTGCTAAAGTTTCACTGCATGCGGCTGCACGGCTGATATGGTACGCCCACTTGCAATCATCCTGTCTGCACCTTCTACCATGAGATTATGCGCATCACTCCCTCCCACCTCACTCAACTGCTAACATCCGTTCACTTCACGCCTTCCCATTCCACCAATCTGATCCCTGCCATTCCATAATGACAGTCCCTCCCCTTCCTATTCCGCCTCTTTCATCCTGCCTGCCATGCATCCCCACTCATCATTCGAAACTCGACTTACAAGCCGATTCGACCTCCCAATCCAAGGAGACATTTGACAACGGATACCAGCTCAAACCAACAGGTGGTGTTGCCACGAGGGCAGCACGGACGGGGCGGGGACCCATACCACGGCCGGGCCTCACTGGCCTTTGAGGCATGTAAAGGCAGTCCATTTCAGCTCAAACCAAGAGGTGGTGCTGCCATGAGGGCAGAACAGAAGGAGACCCGTACCACGGCCGGGCCTCACTGGCCCCCACAGGCGAGTGATACACGCCGTCCAGGATCAGATTCTCCGCCCCCTCCAGCAGGGCGGCATCTTCCGGCACGACTCTGTCCCCCCACACCTCCGCCCGCCCGCACACCTGCTTGTACCCCTGCCCCACCATGCGCGCCTGGAACACACCTCCCCCAGATGCCACCTGCACCTGCCTCCCAGCAGTTGCTTCCTGGTTCTTTTCATCTGAAGCCCCGCTGCTGCCCTCCTCCCTCTCCCCCTCACTTTCGCTCTCCGGCTCTGCATCCGACCCACCAGCTGCTTGTGTTGCTGCGCCCCCCACCCCCACTGGTTTCACATCCAGGGCAAACACGCGCGCCTCTCCTCCTGCTGCTGCTGCTGCTGCTGCCACGGCTCACACAGTGGCTGGTGCTGAGGCTGCTGTGGCTTCTGCAGGGGTGGCAGCAGTGCTGCCGAACAGGGGCAAGCCCTTGATGTACCTGCATGGGTGGGTGGGTGGGGTTGTGGGGAGGAGGTGATGGGGAAAGGAAAGGCTGGCCGTGAGACTGGCACAAAGCCAGAAAAAAAAAAAAAAAAAAAAAAAAAAAAAAAAAAACCGGTCCAAGCGAAATAAGAGGTTTCCAGTGGGAATAGAACACGCAGCACAAGGGGATGTGGAGTGGAGGCAAGAGAGACTCACCTGCCTGGCGGAAAAGGCTTCACCTGCATGAGACACAGGCATGTGGACATAGGCAACAGTATCATACCTGGACAGCCAGGGTGATCACCTGCACAAGAGAGAACCTGCCCCAGAGAGAACCTCCCCCAGAGAGAACCTCCCCCAGAGAGAACCTCCCCCAGAGAGAACCTCCCCTCCCCCAAAGAACCAACCTCCTCTCCCCCAGAGAATGAACCTCCCCTCTCCAAAAGAATGAGCCTCACCTGCTAGAGATGCAGACGTATTTGACGTGGGGAGCATGGAAGACGCCTGGAGAGACGGCCTGCATGTGCATTAGCAGGCCTCTCGTCTGATCCACCACCCCTTGTACCCCTGCGGGTGGTGGGCTGGTGGGAGCAGACATGAGGTGGGAGGAAAGGAAAAGTTGAGAGGGGTAGAGGTACTGGTGATGGTAAGGGAGAGAACATGGATTGTTCAAGAGCAACCATGATCCATCGACATGGCCTGGCGAGACGGCCTGGAGAGACGGCCTGCATGTGCGTTAGCAGGCCTCTGGTCTGATCCACCACCCCCTCTGCCCCTGGGGGCGGTGGACTGGTTGGAGGTGATGCGTGGAAGGGGAGACAGAAAGGGGAAAACGAAGAAAGCAGCAAAATGAGTGAGGACAGCTCACAGAATGATCCAGAGGGGTAGAGGAGAGGCGAGGGTGCAATGCTGCATGGTTGCATGCTTTTCTTTTCGAATACACCATCCATTTTCCACATGCTATGATTCAGTCACAAGTTCGGCACACGCTCTCGCCCTCGCCACAACAACATGCCATAGCACGCTGTGCTGCCCCACTCTGCGGCTTTCGAGAGTTCTAAACAGATTGTTCTCGCCCTCGTCACAACCACACACATGCCATGCCATGGCACGCTGCGCTGCCTCACACACTCACAGGTGTGGCGAGCCGAGGGAGAGCAGCAGCGCCACGTCAGCATGGCCGTACTCCGCGTGTAGACAGTCAAGAAGAGGGCCAGCCACCCGCCTGCTGAGTGCGCCACCAGCGACTCCTGGGAGGCGCCTGGGGGGGAAGTGCAGGCGGGAGAGGCGTGAAGGGAGATGGGAATATGAGAGCGGTGGGGAGTGCACCTGCTGAGTGCGCCACCAGCGACACCTGGGAGGCGCCTGACGGGGGCGGGTGTGTAGGGGAGAGAGGGGGTAGGGTACACGAGGAGCGGGAGTAGCAGCGGGTACTGCAGCCCAGCCACCCAGTGACACCTGCGAGGCACCTGGCAGGGGAGTGCAGAGGGGGAGAGGGGGTGGGGTCAAGCAGAGGGCCAGCCACCCAGTGACACCTGCGAGGCACCTGGCAGGGGCGGGTGCCGTGGGGTGACGGGGGGGAATGAAGAACATCCCTTTGAGAGAGTGTGAAGATTGTGGATTGAACACGTGATTGAATTAGAGTCACAACCTAGCATACATAGTTTGGAAGAGAAGGTTGGAAGAGGAGAATGGAAGGGAAGGATCAAAGTGACCATAGGTTGGGTTGACCTCACTTTGGGAAGTGAGGGAACCATTGGTCAAGTGGGTTGGGTTGCCCACACTTTGTAGAAGTGAGGCAACCCTAGGCCCACTTGGCTTGGGGAAGCCTCAATTGTGGGAAGTGAGGTACCCACAAGTCAAGAGGGTTGCATTTGGGGGCTCCACCACAATTGGGTGGATTGGCACCCCAAAGTGCAAGACTACACCCAAAGTTGGGTGTAGTCCCAACCCAACTGTACACCACAATTGGCGTACAGTCACATGTGTTGGCATGCTACACAATGTATTTTAACACAACCCCTTAGCATGCTAACACAAGAAGAGAACAACCCCTGAGTCAAGGGGCGCCCGGGCGAGTAAGGCCAATGAGGCGGAGGAAAGCAGAGTGCGCGGGGCGAAGGAGGGCCTTAGTGAAGATGTCGGCCAAGTTGGCCTCGGACGCAATCTTGCGAACGGCAATGAGGCCCTTCTGGACGAGGTCGCGAACGAAGAAGTAGCGGAGTTCGATGTGCTTGGAGCGGGCGTGATAGACGGGGTCCTGAGTGAGGTGGATGGTGCTGGCGTTGTCGCACCAGAGAGTGGGGCATGTCTGGGGGGCGCCAAGCTCTGCAAGAAGGAAGCAGAGCCAGCGCGACTCCTGGGCGGCCATGGTGCCGGCGTAGAGCTCTGCTTCGCAGGTGGAGAGAGAGATGGCGGAGGAGCGGGTGGAGCGCCAGCTGACGAGGCCGCTGCCAAGGGTGAAGCCGTAGCCCTGGGAGGAGCGGCGGTCCGGCTGCGAGTCGGCCCATGAAGAGTCGCTGAAGCCCGAGAGAAGGGGACAAGAAGGGCCGCCGAGGGTGAGGGCAAGGTCCTTGGTCCCGCGAAGGTAGCGGAGGACCCGTTTGGCAGTTTTCCAGTGCTCCTCAGAGTGACGACCGGTGCCGACAAAGCGAGCGAGCACGCTGATGGGGTAGGCGAGGTCGGGGCGGGTGCACATCATTGCGTACATCAAGGACCCAACGAGCTCGGCATAGGGGTGGGTGGAGGAGGTGGGGGAGGTGGGTGGAGCGAGCTGGTGACCAAAGGGGAGTGGGGTGGAAACAGGCTTGGCCTGCGTCATGTCGAACTTCTCTAAGACCTGGCCGATGTAATGGGACTGGGAGAGGGTGATTGTGCGAGCAGGGCGGTTGCGGGTGATGGCCATACCGAGGTAGTTAGTGAGGGCGCCAAGGTCCTTGCACTTGAGCCGTTGCTGCAGAGACAGCTTCACCTGCTCCATGTCGGCCTTGGTGTCAGAGAGCAGGATCATGTCGTCGACATAGACCAGAATGAAGAAGCGGCGGGGGGAGGAGCGGATGAAGAGGCTGGCGTCGGAGTGGGAAGGAGAGAAGCCAAGAGACCCCAAGGTGGCAGCCAGCTTCGCATGCCACTCACGCGGTGCCTGCTTCAAGCCGTAGACAGGGCGACGCAGCTGCCAGACAGTGTTCTCAGGAAAGGCTGCGTGGAACCCGGGGGGCCGCCGGAGAAAAATGCGCTCATGCAGGTCACCCTGCAGGAACGCATTGGAGACGTCCATGGAGTCGATTTCCATGTCGTCACGCGCACCAATGTCCATGGCGGCGCGGAGGGTGGGTTGTTTGGCGGTGGGGGCATAGGTGAACCAGTAGTCCTCAGCCCAAGTCTGCGTGAACCCCTTGGCGCAGTAGCGGGCTTTGTACACTGGTTCCTCACCTGGCAGCTGCTTCACCCGAAAGACCCATTTGCCGTCGACGAGATTGGCGCCGGCAGGAAGAGGGACATCGACAAAGGAGTCGTTGCGAATGAATGCCTCACACTCCAGGAAGATCGCTGCCATCCATTTATCCGCATCAGGGCAGGTGATGGCTTCCTGGAAGGTGGAGGGAGTGAAGATGGTGGGGGTAGTGGTGGCGCCAAGGACGGGAAAGCCCAGGAAGTCAAGGTAGAGGGCGGCAAGGAATGGAGTGTGCTCCCGAATGTTAAGAAACTCCTCATGGGAGTCCTCAAGGAGCTGAATGGAGGCAGGAGGAGGAGCCCCAAGGATTTTGTCCACAGAGCGGGTATGGATGTAAGGGAGGAGGAAGGGGGATGAACGGGAGGTGGCTCGACGCCGCTGCTGCCGCTGGTGCTGCTGAAGTTGCTGCCCATGTAGCTGCGGCTGTGGCTGACCGTGTTGGTGCTGCGGCTGCTGGGGCTGCTGCTGCTGCTGCTGTCCCGGCTGCCGCTGCTGCTGGTGCTGCTGTCCCGGCTGCTGCTGCTGCTGCTGGACTGGCTGCTGCTGCTGTTGCCGTCCCGGCTGCTGCTGCTGCTGCTGCCCCGGCTGCTGTCCCTGTTGCTGCTGCTGCTGCTGCTGCTGGTGCTGCTGCTGATCCGGCTGCTGGAAGGAGGGAGAGGGAGAGGGGGAGGGAGGGGGGGGAGGGGGTGCGGCCGAGTGAGCGGGGGAGGCGGGTGCGTCAGGGTCGTAGACATCGGCGGAGGAGGAGGGCGGGAGCGGAGCTGCGACGGGTGGGAGGAGAGGGGCTGGAGGGAGAAGGGGCGGGAGGACGGTGTCGGTCCAAGCAAGAGGACGAGTGGGAGGAGGGAGGGGATCAGGGGGAGGAGTGGAGTAATAGGGGACAGATTCGTCGAAGACGACGTCGCCGCTGCGGATGAGGCGATTGGTGGGAGGGTGGAGGAAGAGGTAGCCTGGGGAGTCACGATTGTGACCAAGGTAAACGCATTCCAGGGCGCGAGGAGCAAGTTTGCCAGCGGCGTGGGAGCGGTCGGCGGGTGGGATAAGAACGAATGCCTTGCAGCCCCAAACGCGAAGGCCTGCAGCGTCGGGTTTGGCGTTGGACCAAAGCTCTGTAGGGGAGGAGGAAGGATGCTGAGGGTGGGAGCGGAGATTAAGGAGAAGGGCGGCGTGGAGGAGGGCATAGCTCCAGAGGGAAGGAGGGGTGGAGGCATGAGCAATGAGACAGCGAGCAATCTTGGTGATCTCACGAATGCGGCTTTCAGCAATGCCGTTCTGCTGAGGGGAGTGGGGAAGGGTGGAGGTCTTTTGGATGCCGTAGGTGGCGCAGTATGTGGCAAGGGTGTTGTTGATGAACTCACCCCCACCATCAGAGTGAAGGCGGCCGATGGGGCGTTTGAAGTGATTGCGGCACTGTTCGGCCCAGTTGATGACCACTGCCGGCACCTGGTCTTTCGTGTGAAGGAAGAAGGTGGTGGAGTACCGGCTGTGGTCGTCAACGAGGACGAGCATGTATCGATGCCCCTGGCGGGAGCGGATGGGATAGGGGCCCCAGAGGTCCATGTGCACAAGGTCAATGGGGGCAGCGGCGAAGGTGGGATGACTGTGGTGTGGGGACTGCTTGAGCTTGCCGTGAATGCATGAAGGGCATGGGGGAGAGGGGGAGGAGGGGAGGGGAGGTAAGACGGGAGGAAGGCTGCGGAGGAGGCGAGAGGTGACTGTGGTGCGAAGGGCGGTGAAGTTGGGATGGCCGAGTCTGTGGTGTAAGAGGACAGCAGGGTGGGAGAGGGCAGCGGAGGAGGAGGGAGATGGGGTACAGGAAGGAACGGGAGGGGAAGAGGAGGATGGTGGGGAGGGAGAAGAGGTTACTTGAGTGGGAGGGGAAGGGGGGAGTAAAGGAGGAGGACGTGGATCGGTGGAAGCACCGGCACGAGTGGTGACGTGGCAAAAAGATGTGCGAGGTGTGCGGAGTGTGTAGAGGCGAGTGCGGGGGCAAAGCGGAATACGGAGAAGGAAGCGACCGGAGGAGGTCTGGTAGAGATCACAGTAATTGGCATAACCGGGGTAAATGGCAGTGATACCAACACCTTGGAGCTCACGGTGGGAGAGGAGGTTGTTGCGGAGAGTGGGGATGTGGAGACTTGTGACCTTACCGGAGGGGAAGGCAGAGCAAGGGAGGGTGGAAAGGTGAGTGCATGGAATGGAAAAGCTGGAATCAGCTCCATGAACCTGAGTGGGAAGTGGTAGTGGGGTGAGAGTGCCAGCATCTTTCAGTGCGGTTTCAGTGGCTCCACTGTCAAGGACAAAGTCCAGGGTGGGAGAAGAGGGAGGAGGGGGTGGGACGGGATACTGAAACGAAGTCTCATTGATAGCAGAGGGATACATGGCAGCGACAGACGGTGCAACACTGATATTACCGAGGAAACTACCAGAAGAGTCGGGAACACTTGGGGGGGGGGGGAGGGGAGGGAACCCCAGCGGGGAGGAGGAGGAAGGGAGGTATGAGCGGCCATGGCCGCCGTGCCGAAGGTGAGTGGCTGCTGCTGCCAGGGTGGGGAAAGGAACTGCTGCTGCTGCTGCGGCGGTGGCTGGAAGAACTGCGGTGGCGGCGGCTGCTGGGGCAGAAGAAACTGCGGCTGCTGCTGCTGGTGGAAGTACAGGTGTTGCTGTTGCTGGTGCTGCTGGAACTGCTGCAGCTGGGAGGGTGGGGAGGGGGTAACCATGCGGAGGTGAGCAGGGAGGAAAGAGGGGAGGGTTTGAATATCAACTAAGGAGGGGCGAGGTGAGACCGAGTTCCAGCGAGGAGGGGTGCCAGTGGTGCCTCGATCAAACCAGGCGTCGTCAAGTGCCTTAAAGCACGTGGTGGGAGGATGGTTGGTCTGGCCGCAAGGGGTACCAGCATGGGGACCATGGCGGCGCACATATGTGCATGGGGGGAGAGTGCCAGGGCGTCCGCCTCGAGTCACAGCACCACCAGAACCGGAAGGTCCTCCACCAGGGGTGCTGCCAGCACCACCTCCACCGGCACCACGGCCACCACGGCCACCACTACCACCACCGCCACCACCACGGCCTCCACCACCACCACCGCCACCCGCTCCACGGCCTCCGCCGCCGCCGCTGCGACCACCCTGGTTGCGCGGCTGCGTAGCGTTGAGGGAGGTGGAGGAGGAGGACTGAGGGGTGGTAAGGTTGACAACGGGGGTACGTAGCTTGACCTCCGTGTCAATGATCCACTGGACCACGTCATCGAGGCCGGCCATGGGGTTGGCCTCAGTGAAGGCATGGAGGCGGGACTCGTAGTCCGGGGTGAGGTTGTAGAGGAGGCGGTGGATTTGCAGGGGCTCGGGGAGGGCAGCTTGGCGTGCCGCAAGGCGATCAGCGACCTCCTGCATGCGCCCCACATAGTCAACTGCGCCATCACAGGTGGCGAGGGTGATGGAGAAGTACTCTTGGAACAGGGCGCCGACAGAGCTGATGTCGCGACGCTCGAACATCGCCTGGAGCTCGGTCCAGATGAGGGAGGCGCGCATCTCGCGAGCTTGGAAACGGCGCATAAGGGTACCAGGGAGTGCGCCAAGGAGGACGGTGCAGGCGCGGTTATCAGCAGTGGCCCATGCGATGCTCCGAGGGAGGTAGTCCGCCATGGCCGTATTGTACTCATCAAGGAGCGCCAGGCGATTGGCGCGTTCCGCTACCGCGAAGTCGTGGTTGTGTACCGCAACTTCATACTCCGCCTTGCGGATGAGGTATTCGCGGCGATCGTGGAGAAATGCGGCATCGGCGGCATCTTGGAGCACCGGGGTAGTGGCGATTTCCAAGGTGGGTTCAGTGGGAGGAGGACCAGGAGGAATGGGGGGTGGAGGGGGTTCGCCGGGGTGAATGGGTGCTGTGGGCTGGAGGGCTTGCGGGCGGCGGAGGAGGATGTCGATGACGCAGTAAGGTCCGACGAATGCATCTTGGAGAACACGGCGGATGCTCCCGACGAAGGAATGCCAGTTGATCGCCGAGCGGTCCGCGGCAAGTTGAAGCTTGTCGACGGAGGAGGCGTCAATGGGAGGGGGGAGAGGGGGAGGAGTGGTAGCCATGAAGGGCGACGGCGGGTGGACCCGCGGCGGCCTAGAGGTGAACGGCGGCGGGTGGACCCGCGGCGGTTAAGGGGGAGGGCGACGGCGGGTGGACGAGCGCGGCAGCCGAGAGGGAGGAGGGCGGGGGGAAGGGGGAGGGGGGGTGCTGCTGCGGGGAGTGGAGGTCTGCTTCGGCTGCTGCTGCTGCTGCTGCCGCTGCTGCTGGTGCTGCCGCTGCTGCCGCTGCTGCCGCTGCTGAGGGAGGAGGGAGGGGGGAGGGGGGGGGGGAGGGGAGGAGGGGGAGGGAGAGGAGGAATGCAGCTGGTGCCGCCACTGCCGCTGCTGCGTTGCTGCTGCTGCTGCCGCCGCTGCCGCCGCTGCTGCCGCTGCTGCCGCTGCTGCCGCTGCTGCTGCTGCTGCTGCTGCGTTGCTGCTGCTGCTGCCGCCGCTGCTGCCGCTGCTGCTGCTGCTGCCGCTGCCGCTGCTGCGGCTGCTGAGGTGTCCCGGCTGCTGCTGCGTGGGAGGAGAGGGGGGGGGGGGGGAAGAGAAAAACGGGGGGGGAGTGGGAGGGAGAACGCAGGTGTAGGTGTGGGCGGGGCTGTTGCTGCCAGTGATGCCGCTGCTGAGGGATGAGGCGGCTGCTACGAGGAAGGCGCGGTGGCGGGATGCGCGGGTGGCGACGAGGAAGGCGCGGAGGTAAGATGCAGGGGCGGCGATTTTTTTTTTTTAGGTCGCGGAGATGAGATATGCGGGCGGCGACGAGCAGGTCACGGCAAACGGTCGCGCGGGCGGTGACTTTAGGTCGCGGCGGGAAGAAGGTTGCGGCGACGAGATGTGCAGGCGGCGACGCGAAGTCGCGGCGGCGGGTCGTGCAAGCGGCGACGAGAAGGTCGCGGCGGTGGGATGCGTAGGCGACGACGCGAAGTCGCGGCGGCGGATCGTGTAGGCGGCGACGAGCGGGTCGCGGGGGCGGGATGCGTAGGCGGCGACGGGGGGGGGGGGGGGTCGCGGCGATGGGGAGCGCAGGCGGCGACGCAAAGTCGCGGCGGCGGGACGGGAGGCGACGACGGGGCGTCGTGACGGCGGGAGGCGCAGGCGGCGCCGAGGAAGGCGCGGCGGCGGTAGGGGAAAGGCGGCGACGAGGCGTCGCGGCGGCGGGATGCGCAGGCGGCGCCGAGGAAGGCGCGGCGGCGGTAGGGGGAGGCGGCGACGAGGCGTCGCGAAGGCGGAATGCGCAGGCGGCGCCGAGGAAGGCGCGGCGGCGGTGGGGGGGGGGGGGGGGGGGGGGGGGGGGGGGGCGGCGACGAGGCGTCGTGACAGCGGGATGCGCAGGCGGCGCCGAGGAAGGCGCGGCGGCGGTGGGGTGAGGCGGCGACGAGGCGTCGCGACGGCGGGATGCGCAGGCGGCGCCGAGGAAGGCGCGGCGGCGGTAGGGGGACGGCGACGGGGGGGTCGCTGCAGGGGGAGGAGGAGGCGGCGACGAGGCGTCGCGGCGGGATGCGCAGGCGGCGCCAGAGAAGGCGCGGCGGCGGGAGAAAAAAAAAGGGGGGAGTGAAGAGTGGCGACGGCGTAGGTCGTGCCACGGGGGTGCTAGGTTGAGCCACACGTAGGGGGTTTGTGGCTGTGGGGTGGGCCCATGGAAAAAAAGAAGACTTGAAGGGAGGGAAAAAAAAAAGGCTTAGGAACAACTAGCTCTATACCATGTGAAGATTGTGGATTGAACACGTGATTGAATTAGAGTCACAACCTAGCATACATAGTTTGGAAGAGAAGGTTGGAAGAGGAGAATGGAAGGGAAGGATCAAAGTGACCATAGGTTCGGTTGACCTCACTTTGGGAAGTGAGGGAACCATTGGTCAAGTGGGTTGGGTTGCCCACACTTTGTAGAAGTGAGGCAACCCTAGGCCCACTTGGCTTGGGGAAGCCTCAATTGTGGGAAGTGAGGTACCCACAAGTCAAGAGGGTTGCATTTGGGGGCTCCACCACAATTGGGTGGATTGGCACCCCAAAGTGCAAGACTACACCCAAAGTTGGGTGTAGTCCCAACCCAACTGTACACCACGATTGGCGTACAGTCACATGTGTTGGCATGCTACACAATGTATTTTAACAGAGAGCTCCCTTGTAAACAAGCCAACAGCAGCGTGAGATGTGATCACAGGGGGGCATTGTGGGATGGAGTGCGGAATGAACGTGGGGAATGCATGTGCCTGGGAAGGGGTTCATCGGCATGCAATGGTTCTCAGGGATTGATTGCGTTAGAGTGTGCCTTGCGTGCAAGTGCTTGTAAATGAGTGACTGTAGAGGAATGCGTACAGGTGCTTGCAAGTGAGTGCATGCATCAGGAGCGTTACTTGGTAAGTCACGCGGGTATACCTGGGACTCTCTTCTTGGCTGCCTTCACCGCTGCTGCCACCCGCTCCAAGTACCTGTTAGGCAGGCAGTCAGTCAGGCAGTCAGTCATGCGGCGGATACAGGGACAGGGAGAGAGAGAAACAGGGACAGGGAGACATAGGGGCACAGGGACGGGGATGAGAGGACGAAGAGGCACAGAGACCCACGACTCTCTTCTTGGCTGTCCCCCCCCGCTGCTGCCACCCGCTCCAAGTACCTGTTAGGCAGGCAGGCAGTCATGCGCACAGAGGGACAGCAAGATACAGACAGAGGCATGGAGAGACAGAGATAGAGGGTCAAGGCTGAAGGAACGATGGGACGCCGATGCACAGAGCCACATACACAGTCCCTAAACCCTTCCCAGGGCTGTGAGGCGCTGTGAGGTGCTGTGAGGGGCGATTCGAGGGGCTAGAGGGGGGGAGGTTGGGAGGGGCTGTGAGGGGCTTTGGGGGGTAGGGGGGCCTTGGGGGGGCCTTGGGGGGCCCTTGGGGGGGCCATGGGGGGGTTTCCCTCGACTCTTGTATCCTACCTTGCGAGTATCTTCATTCCTCTTTTATAGGTATAAAGCCAATGATGTGGGTAGAAGTACAAAATCAAGGTAGTAACAGAGATGCCATTGATGGTAACACCAGCAGCAACAGTCAGCCCGTGAAGCAATCACCCTCATCATCATTCGTCCAGGTGTTCAGAACCCTCCCTAACTACCTTACCGTATCTCTTAAGATTGTGATCATTCCCAGCCTTCCTAGTAATTGCACTGCCCACCTCAGAGACATCACATCACATCACATCACATCACAGCTAAGCAAACATCCTATAATAAAAGATGCTACATGACATGCCATAGAACCTTACTAGCGCCTACCTGTGTGTGGATACTTTCAGCCCGTACACCTCATTGATGCTTCTGGGGAGCACTGACCCATCCGTGTCCGTCACATGCCCACACTCCTCCACATCCAGGCTCCTCAGCGCCGTCAGCGCACTCAAATCCCCCGGCAATGCCTCCAGCTGCGCACAGCCTGACAAATTGAGGGATCTGAGCCGCGAGAACTGGGAAACGGTGGGGCACAGGGAGCGGATGGGGCAGGCTGTGATCGACAGGTGGTTCAGGCGGGTAAGGTGGGTGAGAGAGGCAGGCAGCTGCTCAAGGTCGTCGGAGTTATAGAGGTCGAGCTCGCGCAACCGCGACAAGGCACCGATGCCATCCGGAAGAGAGGCCAGTGGCGCATTGCAAGCCGTTAAGGACGTCAGGTTCTGCAGCGCAGTCACACTCGCTGGCAGCTCCCCTAACTCGTACGCCGATACCAGCTTCAGCTTCCGCAGCTGCGGCAGTGCTGACCCGATGTCGGCCGGCAGCCTTTGGAGGTTTATCGCGTAGTCAATGATCAGCGTGCGCAGGCGGGAGAGGAACGTCAAGGCGAATGGAAGCTCCTCCGCATCGTTAGCCAGCGTCAGCTGCAAATGCTCCAGGTGCGACAGGCTCCTGCTCACAGCGACCCCACACGCCACCGCAACTACGTCCAGGCGAAGCGTCCGAAGCCCCGTCAGCGTGGAGACGTCTGGCAGAGGCCATGCATGTCTGAAACCTCCCCAACCCAGCCATTCAATTGAAGCCGGCAGGACTAGAGGAGGCCGTGTCAGCCTGTCACATCGGGCCACCTCCAGCCGCTTGAGCCGCGTCAAGCCGTCCAGCCTTGTGGGTGCCGAGGTCAGATTATGGCAGTCAGCGAGTGAGAGAGCTTCAAGGGCAGTCAGGGACGTCACGGACGCTGGAAGGGCCGCGAGCCGAGGGCAGGACGAGACGTGCAGCTCGCGCAGGCTGCTGAGCGACCCCACGCCCTCTGGCAGCAACTCCACACCACACCTGTTCAGCTCAAGCCTCGTCAGCGATGAGGTCTCAGATAACGAGGATAACGAGCACGGGAGATGCGGATATCCGAAGCTCCTTGTCACAAGCAGCGTGTGGAGGTTACTGAGGCGGCCTATGTCCGCTGGAAGCGCCACTCGTTCGAGGCAGAGAGTCGTGAGAGTCGTGAGGCGGCCGAACCCTGCTGGCAGCTCGCGGATTGAGTCGCACGAGAGCAGGAAGAAGGTCTCCAGGGAGCTGAGCTGGCAGATGGAGGCAGGCAGGCTCGCCAGCAGCGGCAAAAGATCCAGAACCAGAGTTGACAAGGCAGACAATCGCCCAACGTTTTCAGGCAGGCAGCGGAATTTGTCGCATTTGATGAGTGACAAGGTCTCGAGGTGCTTCAGGGAACAAGCACCTTCCGGCAGCTCCTCCAAGTCATGGCACCTGGAAACGGTCAGCTCACGCAGACTCGGCAGCAACTCCGCGATTCTGGCCGGAAGCCGCTTCAAATTTTCGCAATCTGATATCTGCAGCCGTTCAAGACTGGTCAATGGCCAATCCGACAGCAACACGTGGCGAGAGCTCAGCGATTTGATCAAAGGCAGCTGTGCGATGGCGAAGGCAGCCGAGCCATGAGGAGAAAACGAGGTCCCGGGAGAGAGTGAAAGGCCGGTGATGCTGGGAAGACGACGCACGTTGGCCAGTTGCTCCTCGGTCACCTCCGGGAAGGCGATATGAAGAGTGGTGAGGGAAGCGAGGCTCTCCAGATCTGGAGCTTCTAAGGCGGAGGCGGCTGTTAAAGCCAGGGTGTGCAGACGCGTGAGGCGGAAGAAGGAAGCGGGTAGCTCAGTGTTCCAATGGAGGCAGAGCAGTGACAGCTGCTCCAGCTGCGTGCATCGCTGGAAGAAGCGATCCAGACCAGCCTCGGTGATCGGGTGCTTATGCTTCGGTCCGACGTAGTCTGGATGGTGAGTGATCGAGCGTCCCACGTGGAGAATCTTGAGCTGAGGACAGGATGATGCGAGGTGAGCGAGGAAGGAGTCGTCTAGGGTTTCCACGCTGTCGTCGCACAGATGGAGATGGGTGAGATTCGGGAAGCACGCGACGGCATTCGAGAGTTCTTGGAGGGGAATGGCTTGTTTTCTTTCGACGAGCAGCGTGGAGATGTTACGCTGAGCTACATCGCGCCAACGACGGCACACCGACGACACGAGGAAGATCTTGGCAGCGGTTGGAATGGCGGAGGGGTACGATACTGGATACGAGTCTTCCTCCTCAGGACTGGGATCTTTGTCTAGAACGATCGAGCGAAGGTACAGTGGCTTCTCGTAAAATGAATGCCGAGACCATAATGCGTCACTGTCCGACTTCCAAGGTGTTGACTCCTCGCAATGCCATAGTATCTTAGCGATGATGTCGTCGGGAAGGTCGTTAATATGTGTCGCTGTCTCCATCGTTTCCATAGCAGACGAGACTACGAAGGAGCTATATATAAGGACGGAGTGCAGCGAGTTGAAGAAGCCTAGACAGAGTTTGAACTAGGTCTGCTAAACGAGTGTGACGTGCGTGAATCACGTGAGAGGTAGTCTCGCTGCCTTCCCTCGTACGCAACGCGTGCCTGATGTGGTGGACACTCTTTCGGGTGTAGGAGAGGGTTACCCGGTTCCCGAACCAGAGTGTTTTTGCTGTGTTTGATTTATTTCGTGATTTCGCTGCTAGTTTCCCGCTAGTCTGGTTTCGCTGGAAGATTTCCGCTAGACTTCGTGATTTGTTTCGTTATGCGTCGTGGATCGAAACCGTGCGTGGTCCACCAAAATCAATTTGTCGTGATACTGTTTCGTTCGGCTATGAACCCGAACCCTCGTCGCCGAAGCACAACTGGTTCGGGAAACGCAGCGCTCAAAAGGTTCGAGATTGGTAAGCAACGGTTCGCCCTTGGCGCGGGTCTGCTTTGGTAATCGACGCAAAACGATTCCGAGCGGTGAAGAGGAAAACCGCACCAGAGCGCACAGTATCACACTCAAACAATGACTCTGAGTGGAGGGCGAAGAAATGTGACGCGTGATAATGAACGGAGAGAACTCGTAATCCGCTTCTCGCCATGAAATACTGAATGCCATCTCAACAGAACATAAGGACTCAACTCCAGGCTCTCTCCTCTCGGAGCGGTTCTGAAGTTCGGACACCAGCGGTGGACCCGTCAGTCTGGCTTGGCATGCAACGAGAAAAATCTGGAGATTTGTTTGGCAGACGTGGCGACATTCTTTCGCGATAACTTTTCGAAGCATCAATGTTTTTTCGATGCGACGGTTTTGATTTATTACTCCCGCCTGTCGCCTTCAGTAGGTTTTCTGCTTAACGTCTTCGCTCTTTTGGTTAGGAGTCCCCAGCTCGGCGGATTCGAATAAGCTTGATAGGATGTTCGCTATTCCGGCTAGCGTCAGCCTTTCCTCCCGCCCTTCTCCCGCTCCCCCGCTCCCCCTTGTCCCCTCTTCCCCCCTTCCTCCTCCCCCTTCCCTTCCCCTTCCCTCCCCCTTCTCTCCCCCTCCCCGCTTCCACTTCCTCTCCCCCCTTCTGTTCGGCCGTCCAGACGACGCCTTGGCGACTCTTACAGCCTTAAAGGACGCGTCATTTCGTGTGTGCTTGACATTGCCACGTCATTCGGCCACTATGCGACGTGTCAAGCTGCCGTGTGCAGCGCTCATGACCTGATGGTTTCACTGTGCTTCCTCTGAACGAGTTTTCCATTCTCTGGTGTAAGATGTGAGCATGTGGGTTGGCGATTATCTGTGCGGGCTTTCTCGTGGCTGTATTGAAGTTAAGTTCACTTTGTCGTGTTGACTCCTTCTAACTGTTGACTTAAACACACCGAAACAGAGTCTCAAATCAGTGGTGTTTGTTGTTTTATGTTGTTAAATGCCGAAACACCGAGTCTCAAATAAGACCGAATCACTTCAATACCCCACGTCTCCCTCCGCCTTCCCTGCATGCATCTGTCTGCAACGATCCACTCGCCCTTTTTGACACTCGCTCTCCTCCCCTCTCTCTCCGTCCCTCTCCCCCTTCCCTTCCCTCTCCACCCTTCTCTCTCCGTCCCTCTCTCTCCTTCTCTTCCCTATCCGCCCCTCGCGCTCCGTCTCCCTCTCTCTCTGTCTCTCTCTCCATTCCATTTCCAGTGCATACCAGCAGGTCTCCGGACGCGCCTGTTGGGACCCCACAGCACCGCTCTCAACCGCTCTACATTCAGCAGTACTCCCACTTTCTGCATCTGCTTACTTTACGTGCATGGACTTTCAATTTTCTTCTGCAAAGTTCCTCCTCCGCTCTTCTGTTTTGAAGTGTGGATACGCGATAATTTCTCTACTTTCCTTTCCCTCCAGTTTCAACCACGTTTCCCCCTGTCTGCTCCGCTCCTGTCAGCCAAGCATTTCAGTAGCCACACACACCTGTCAGCACAAGCTCCACCCACCATGAGCAATGGCAGCTGCAGCCCCGTCAGCAGCGGCAATGGCAGCGGCGCATCTCCCTCTTCCTACCTGCTCCTCCTCTCTGCGCCGAGACGGCCTGTGGCGAGTGGTGCTGCGTGGGCCTGCAGAACCCGCCGTATCAGGCAGTGCTGCTGAGGGGCAGCGCTGAGGGCAGCGGTGTGGATGGTGACATGGCATGGCAACAGAGGGAAGAGCAGAGGGAAGAGCAGAGGGCAGAGCAGAGGGAAGAGCAGAGGGCAGAGCAGAGGGCAGAGCAGAGGGCAGAGCAGAGGGCAGAGCAGGTTAGAGGGGGGCTTGCATACAACTGCGCAGCAGAAGGCGTGGGAGTGGGCATGCGAGGAGGCATGGAGAGCAGGACAAGTTGCCCTCATGCTGCTGGGGCCTGTCACCAACCTTGCCCAGGCAAGTATGCCTTGTGTGCGTGGCATTGCACAGATGTGAGGAGGAGGGCAGGCCAGGGCAGGCCAGCATCATGCAGCTGGGGCCCATCACCAGCCTCGCCCAGGCAAGTTTCTTTAGGCACCTCAAAAGACGTTTTTTTTAGGCGCCTCAAAGTTCATGCAGCTTGGGCCCACCACAAAACTCGCCCAGCAAAGTCACAACAGGGAGACAAGTTTCATTCCTGCCTCCTCACACTCTTCACTGTGCACCTCTCTCCACTCACACCCTCCGCTCATGATCTCTCAGTCCCCTCATCTTCCACCTTGCCATTGTAAAATCACTCCCTTGTCCTGTGCCCATGCCGTGCCAACATATGAGGCTTGCATGAGAGGTCTCAAGATTCGCTCTTTAGACGTTTGAGGTGGCGGCATAAGTGGTAGCGCCAAGCCAAGCTGCCGCTGCTCTCTGTCCCCCTAGCATGCAAGGCCATGTCGGAGTTGCGGCTGCACTCTTCTTTGCCTTGATTCTCCTGCTCTGTCTCTCCTTCGTTCCCTCTATTGCCTCAGCCACTCTCAATGAAAGTGACGAGACTCTCACCTCAATGGTCCTCCCTGAGTGGGTGTCACCAAACGCAAGGCTAGAGGTAACCAGAATCCACTATACGAAAGGATAACAAACGGAAAGCATTGTGTGTGTGTGAGAGAGTGAACTTACCTGTCCCTGGCTCGAGCCGTGCATTTCTCAATGTGCGGCTCGGGCCTGGGTGGGTTTGTTCCCATTGGTCGCGAGGATTTCACCCCTTGGTGATCTCCTACCAACTCCGCGTCAATTTCCCAGCCCCCCACCTACTTATCCTTGAGGCTGCATACACCAAATACAACACATCACTACACCCGTCCTACACCTTAATCATACTGGCACCTTATATGCACAACCGTGCATATTCGGTGACAGCTGTCGGAGTTGCGGCTGCACTCTTCTTTGCCTTGATTCTCCTGCTCTGTCTCTCCTTCGTTCCCTCTATTGCCTCAGCCACTCTCTGCCCCCTCCTGTGCCCGTGCTCGAGCAGCTTGAGCGCGGGTCACAGGACCAGTACGCTGAGGCCCTGTTCCCCTTATCACTGCCGTGTTCGTCTGATGTTCCCGCAGCTGCGCCCCCGCGTCATTTTCCAAGACCAGCACTCCTGATGGGCGGACCTCCTTGACTTTCCAGCGCACTGTCCCCAATCCCACATCTAGGGTGTCCTGCTTGGCCTTCTTCAGATACACTTCCTGTCCTTCGCTGATGGCCCTTGCCGCTCGGCCCTCCCCCTTTTGCTGCCTTTGTTCATATCGCCTGGCATCTCTGAGCTGTGCGGTGCGCAGGTTCTCCAGCGCGGCTGGCATCATGTAACGCATGTACCGCGCCCTCACCTCGGACAGGGCTACCCAGTTCTTGATTGTGCCCGCTGTCACTGTGTCTGTCAGCACCCGTGGTGCCCCCACAGGCAGGATTGGGTCCCGTCCGTATAGCAGGCTGTATGGGGAATGATCCTTCAATGCTGCCTGCTTCCCGAATCTATACCCTGCTGCGATCCAGTCCAGCTCCTCATCCCAGTCCCTCTTCCGCTGCTCCCCATAGGCCCGGAGCCCTCGCTTGAAGGTCTGCACTGCTCGCTCAGTCAGCCCGTCGCTCTGCGGGTGGTAGCGAGAGGTCTTCCGATGGGTGATGCCCGACTCCGCCAGCAACTTCTTGAACTCCCCCTGGAACTCCGTTCCCTGGTCTGTAAGCACCTCCCCACATGCCCCAAACCTACACACGACCTGTGCCTTGAAAGCTGCTGCAATGTGCCTTGAGCTCTTGCTGGGGATGGCTCTCACCTCCAGCCACTTGCTCACATGCTCCACCATGAACACGATGTACTGGTTCCCACTCCTGCTTAGGGGCAGCTCCCCTGCCAGGTCTAAGGACCATCGGAACCCTAGCCCGCAGATTGGCAGTGAGTTCAGCTCTGCCTTGGCCTGCGTCAGGTTGGCTTTGCTCCTCTGACATGCCTCACACCCCTCTACCCACTCCTTCACCTGTCTGCGCATCCCTTCCCACCACCAGCCCGTCTTCAGCAGATGTACGGTCCTCTCATGTCCGAAGTGTCCCAGCTTAGTGTGTACCTCTTTGATTATTGCTTCACGGTCCTGTGGCGCTGGCACCAGCTTCCAACCGTCCTCTGTCTTGACCTGCAGCTGCTGCTGGTACCACCTGTAGTGGTGTCCTCGTGCTCTCACTCTGTCAGACACTGCCTCGTCTTCCTCTGTTTCTCCCCTCACCCACTTCATCGCCTTCTCATCCTGCCATATGTCCGCTGGCCCCTTACTCCCCTTGGCACCGACTTGTTCCACTTCTCTCGCCAGCATGATCAGGGTGTGCGCTGGCTCCTGCTCTGTCCCCTCCGTCCCCTGTGTTCCTTGTCCTGTTTCCAGCAGTGGTGGATTACGGGAGAGACCGTCTACGTGCTGCAGTGTCTTCCCCGGCCTGTGCCTGATCTGGAAATCATATTCCTGCAGCTTCACGGCCCACCTGGCGTTCCTTCCCGTCAGCCCTGGTGTGGTCATCAGCCACGTGAGGGGCTGATGATCAGTGACCAAGGTGAACTCGCGGCCCTGCAGGTACACCCTGAAGTGCCCAACTGCCCACACTGCCGCCAGTCCCTCCCCTATGTATGAGCTATACTGCGCCTCTGCGGGGTTGCAGCTCCTGCTGGCGTAGGCTACCACCTTCTCCACTCCCTCCACCCCCTGGCACAGTATTGCCCCCATCCCCTGGCTGCTCCAATCGGTGTAGAGGACGAAAGGTTGGTCTGCTGTTGGCAGCCGTAGCACCGTCGCCGTCTTTACGGCTGTCATGAGGTCTTGGAGTGCTACCCTCTGCTGCTCTCCCCACTCCCATGCCTTGTCCTCACGCAGTATCCCATTCAGCACCGCCGCCCTCTTACTGAAGTTAGGCACAAAGCGCCTGTAGTAGCTGAGGAAGCCCAAGACCGCGCGCAGCCCTGACTTGTCTCTAGGTTCCCTCAGCCTGTCCAGCACCTGTACCTTTGCTTGCTGGATCCCGATCTGTCCCCCTGTCACCTCATACCCTAGGTACTGCACCGTCCGTTCCCCCCACCTGCATTTGTCGGGATGGCATGTGAGCCCTGCCTCCTCTATTGCACTCAGGGTCCTCTCCACGTCCTCCAGATGCTGCTGCTCGGTCAAGCTGAAGATGACTACATCATCGATGTAGCATGCTGCATGTTCAATTCCCCGCAGCACCGCGTCCATGACTCGTTGAAACACCGCCGAGGCGTTCCGTAGGCCGAAGGGCATGTATAGCCACTCGTACAGCCCGTCCGGTCCGTGGAAGGCTGTCTTCTTCACATCTTCTTCCCTGATTTTTATTTGATTGAATCCCTGGCGCAGGTCCAGCGTCGTGAAGTACACCCCGTCGGCCATCTTGTCAAAGAGCTCCTCCGCCATCGGCATGGGGTACCTGTCCGGCACGGTGATCTTATTAAGATCTCTGTAATCGCCGCACATCCTGCGGCTCAGCACCTCTCCTGTCAAATCCTTCCTGGCTGCCACTACCGTCGGGGTCGCGTACTCTGACTCTGACCTTCTGATCAATCCAGCTTCCAGTAATTCCTTTATTTTCTCCCTGCAGATCGCCTCATCCCCAGGCGGCATCTTTCTTCGGCGGTGGAACACCGGCTCATCGCTGCTCAGCTTCAATGCCATCTCCTTGATCTTGCACTTCCCCAACTCCTGCAGGGTGAAAGCGAAGCCCCTCCTGTGCCTAACCAGCAGTGCCAGCATGGCTGCCTTCCCTCCCTCACTCATGCTCTCACCTATCTTCCACTCATGCTCTGCTTTCGGCAGGCAGGCCCATGCCCCCTGCCTCACCGTTGCTACTGTGTTCTCTCCCTCCTTCAGTCCCCAGCGCAGCACTGTCTCTCTCCACATCCGCTGCACCAACCACCTCATCACGTACCCATCCATTGCGTTCCCCATTGCCCGCCTCCGTTCCTGTTCAGTGACGCCAGGGGCTGCTGTAGCGTTCTCCTTGTACCCCATAGCCAGCTCCCTCTCCTGGGCCTGGCTGCTTCCCATCCATCTGGTACCCTGCTGCCCCCTCATATGACACTAGCGTAGGCAGTGCTTGCCTCTCCTGCCCCACTTGATTGCACGGATAATGTCGGCTGTAGCTCTTCTTATACACTGGTGCTGGCGTTCGCCCAGGCTCCAGTATATCGCTCAGCTTCCGCCCCCCTGCTCTCCGTACCCCCTCTATCTCCTTCTGCAGGTCTTCTGCTGGCACCACATTCTGCCAGTACATCCTGAGCCTGTGTGCGTAAGCTCCCATCCGTGTCGCGTCGCAGCTCACTCCCTTTCCCACCTGTCTGGTCACTCGCTCCCTTACTACTCGTATGGGCTCGCGCACATCTCCTTCCATGTCTAAATGCTCCAGCAGGTAGGCCACCCTGCTTTGTTGAGCCTGCAGCCACTCCAGAATTTTGAACAAGTCCTCCATCAGTTGTGTCCGTAGGTCTTGCTCACCCTTGCCCTTCCCTGCCCATGATACCCCTTGGCATTCCCATCCCGCCACCAACAGGTCCACGTGCCCCCAGCTCGCCACCTCAGCCTCTGTGATGGCCCGTACATCGTGCACTCCTCTACTCATTGCTGCCTTGATCACTTCTTCCTTCAACAGCTCCGGGAACTCGCGGTGCAGCTGCCATGCGTGATGCTCCGCCATTTTCCTTGCTTCTGCCGCCTTCTCTACGTAAATCCACTGCTTCACTGCGATCCCGTTCCGCACCACTGCTGCCAACCCCGCCCCTATACCCCCAAATAGTTCCACCAGGCGGATAGGTTGCTGCCAATCAGTCTGCTGGCTAGGCTCGTCCATGAAGCGCATCCTCAGCTCTCTGCCCTGTCCCTTGCTTGTCGTTCTCTCCTGTGCCCCCTGCTTCGCTGTCATTTCCTTCAGATCCGCCCTGTAGGCCCGCTTCGGCTCTGTCTTGACGAACTGCACCGGCAGCTGTCCCAGTGGCTCACCCTTCCTCCACCACCTGGTCCTGAATTCCACCGTCTCCCTCCAGAAGCAGATGGTCATGCCCAGTGCAAAGATCATCTCCGTGCCCACCAAAACGTCGAAATCTTCAGATTCTGAGATCCCGCACCTGATCCTGACCGGCGTTTCGTGCTTCTCTCCTTTGAGCACCGTCAGTTCAATTGGAGTCCTTGTACATGGCATCCACTTTGACTCTCCTCCCTCTGCTGTCATCACCAGCATCCCCTTCACTACATGTCTGTCCGGTGCCCACAGTCCCAGCTTCTCGGCCATCCCCTTCCCTAATATCACGCTCTGCGCGCCAGTGTCTATGATAGCCGTCTTGGCCTTCTCCCCTTCCACCGACAGCGCGCCTCCTTGTATCAGCAGCACGGAAGTCTGGCACGCCAGCCGCTCCTGAGGGTGCCGTGCTGCTGTGCACCTCTCTTCTTTCGCTTCCGGTTTCTGTCCTTTCTCTCGTTCCTTCCTCACCTGCTCCTTCCGTGCATCCCTTCCCCCGCTGCGCAGCCCCATCTCCTCCCTTCCTCTCCATGCCATGTATGCTGGCTGCTCCTCGTGTTCCGCCTCATCCTCCGCTCTTCCTGCCCAGCTCATGAATGCAGCTTCTTCATCCTGCTCTACATCCTCCTCCTTTTCTTTCTTAGCGTACATCCCCGCTTCTGCCTCGCGTCGTGGTCCCATTGCCTGCAGCTGAGCCTGTAGCTTGCCAATCTGCCTTTCCAGGTCCTCTGGTGTCCTCCTCGCTGCTCCCTCCCGCTGATAACACTCCCTCGTTGCATGCCCTCCCTTCCCACAGATGTCACACTTTGGCGCCGTTGGGCATTCCCGCCGCCGGTGTCCGGGCTTACCACAGGAGTCGCAGTTCTTGCAGTCTCTGCGCAAGTGCCCTGGCTGCCCGCATCGGTGGCACGTCCGTGTGTCAGTCCTGTTATCCCCTCTTCCCCCTCCTCTTTCCTTTTCTTCTGGTATCATGGCTGCGGCCCACGTAGGTCCTCTGCCTCGCTCCACTGGGCGTTGCCGGTAGGCTTCGAGCTTCCTCTGGGCCATCTCCATCTTCTCTGCTAGCTCGAATACTTCATCAAGCGTCACGTCAGCCCCCCTCTCGTACACTTTCAGCCGCAGCCCGCTTCCCAAGGTACCCTCCAGGCCGTCCAGAAACTTACTCACGAGCAGGGCCGTGTCCGCGCAACTCACATCCTCTGCCAGGTTAACCAATCGGTTGTAGTAGGTGAGTAGTGACTCGCCCCGCCCCTTCCTGAAGTCCTGAAACTCTCTTATCTTCTCCGCGGTGTGGCCTGGGAACTGCCGTTTCAGCCGTCTTAGGAATGCCTCCGTGGGGTCTTCCCCATACCTCCCTGCCCTCTCCAACAGCTCATCCATCTTCATCCTGTACAATGTCTCTGCCTCCCCTTCCAGTGTGTTCGGCAGGCTCAGGAAAAAGTCTACTGAGTCCATGCCGCTCCTCTCACATCGGTACCGCACATTGCCCACTTGCATGAGGTAGTTCTTCAGCGTGGGCCCCGTGTGCTGATCTCCTGAGAAGCGTGTAGGCACCTCCACCCTCATGCCCACGGCCGTGCCTCCCCTTCCTTCTCCCCATGCCTCGCTCGGCCCTCCCACCGATCTCCCTGATGCTCCCCTTCCTTTTGCCCGCTGTAGGCCCTCCCTTGCTTCCTTGGCTCGCTCCAGGCTGTGCACCAGCCCACTGCTTTCTTCTCTATCGCCATGTTGCTCCCGCCCTCCCTGTCCGGCACATCTTCCGTCGTGCTGCCAATACCGGCCAGGCGATCGAGACCCACCACCGCGCCTCCCATCCCTGCTCTGCTGCCGATGCGGTGAGCGATATCCGCCTCCCCGGCTTTCCCCATGACGCAGGCGCCAGTCGGGCGAGTGCGCCTTGTCTCCCCACTTCTCTCCACGGTACCGTTGCATGTCCGGCGAGCGATTGCCTCCTCCGCGTCTCTCATCACGCGAGTAACGAGGCTCTGGCGAGCGCGAATCCCCTCTGCTTCTCCCGTCGCGATTTCTCCGCGGATCTAGTGAGTGCGTGCTGCCCCCGCGCCCACTGTCCCGGTGTTGCCTCGAATCTGGCGAGTGGTATCCACTTCCGTGTCTCCTCTCATGCAGCGGCCACGGATCTGGCGAGCGCATGCCGTCGCCGCGTCCCCCTTCACGAGTGCGCCGCGGATCTGGCGAGCGCACGCCGTCGCCGCGTCCCCCATCACGTGTGCGCCGCGGATCTGGCGAGCGCACGCCGTCGCCGCTTCCCCCATCACGAGTGCGTCGCGGATCTGGCGAGCGCACACCATCGCCGCGTCCCCCATCACGAGTGCGCCGCGGATCTGTCGAGCGCATGCCGTCGCCGCGTCCCCCATCACGAGTGCGCCGCGGATCTGGCGAGTGCACGCCGTCGCCGCGTCCCCCATCACGAGTGCGCCGCGGATCTGGCGAGCGCACGCCGTCGCCGCTTCCCCCATCACGAGTGCGTCGCGGATCTGGCGAGCGCACACCATCGCCGCGTCCCCCATCACGAGTGCGCCGCGGATCTGGCGAGCGCATGCCGTCGCCGCGCCCCCCATCACAAGTGCGCCGGTGATCTGGCGAGCGCACGCCGTCGCCGCCTCCCGCGTCGCATTGCTGACGCAAATCTGGAGAGCGCGAGCTGCTGCTACGCCTCCCGCTGCCACGCTCCTCTCCGTTGCGCGGCGGGTTTCGAGCACCGCTCGTTCCGTCCGCCTCCACCGCGCTTGTCTCTGCCGCCACGCTCGCCTGCGCGAGATCTGCTTTTGTTGCTTCTGCAGGCACGTCGCGCTGCTTGCTCACGTCCTCCTTCCGGCCGTCGGCGCCGTTCTCCGCCGCATCGCCGTGCTCGGACTCCTGCGAGGTGTCCGCCGCGTCGCTTTCTTCTACTCCGCCAGCGTTGAGGTCTCCTTCTCGGCCCGAAAACAGTCCTTCCAAGCCTCGCCCGCGCCTCCGATCTTCGCGACGGCGATAACTTGCATCCGGCGAGCGATACGCTCCCGTCTCCTGGCGATATCCCAGATTGCCACCCCCATGGCGCGTTTCCGTCCGCCACGGATCACTCCTCACCATGGCCAATTCCGATCCGCCGGCTCTTCCTTGTGCAGATCCTTCCTCTCGGCGTTCATGCCCGAGAGGCACCTGATCCGCCCGAAAGGCAGGCCTTCGCGGCGATCGATCTGGCCTCCGCGGAGACCGCTCCAGCGACCGCCCACGCTCGCGGGAGTGTCCGCGCCGTGAGCGATCCTGCTCATGCCGACTATACGTCCGGCCGTAACGCACATCGTACCCGTCCATGCTTGCACGCACGCAGAATGCTTTTCCGTTTGTTATGAAAGTGACGAGACTCTCACCTCAATGGTCCTCCCTGAGTGGGTGTCACCAAACGCAAGGCTAGAGGTAACCAGAATCCACTATACGAAAGGATAACAAACGGAAAGCATTGTGTGTGTGTGAGAGAGTGAACTTACCTGTCCCTGGCTCGAGCCGTGCATTTCTCAATGTGCGGCTCGGGCCTGGGTGGGTTTGTTCCCATTGGTCGCGAGGATTTCACCCCTTGGTGATCTCCTACCAACTCCGCGTCAATTTCCCAGCCCCCCACCTACTTATCCTTGAGGCTGCATACACCAAATACAACACATCACTACACCCGTCCTACACCTTAATCATACTGGCACCTTATATGCACAACCGTGCATATTCGGTGACAGCCACTGCTCTCTGTCCCCCTAGCATGCAAGGCCGCTGCTCTCTGTCCCCCTAGCATGCAAGGCCGCTGCTCTCTGTCCCCCTAGCATGCAAGGCCACTGCTCTCTGTCCCCCTAGCATGCAAGGCCACTGGGGTCTGGATGCTGGAGTGCTCTCTTTGCCTCACCTCTCTCACCTCCCTCGTTTCTTTTCTCTATCTCACATCTTCCCTCCTGTCTGTTGATGCTGCTGAGGTGGCAGCCACGGTAGGGCGCCTGACCGTTTTGCCACACCGTCACCAAAGAATCTGCCTCCGTTTATTTCTATCTGTCTAAAGAGGTTGTTCGTCGGAGGTTTGGGGTTGAGCAAAGCAGCACAGAACAGGGAAAAGGCAAGTAGGACAGGGCAGGGCAACGTAGAGCAGGGGAAGAAGTCTTATAGATTGCACTGTGATCACCTGTCACCTGAATGCACCCATCTGGGTCATGCTTCAATGCACTCATCGTGCTCGCTGCGATCGCCTTCTCACTGCCTCTGCCTCTATATATGACTTCTTTTCTGAGCAAGTGCCAGCCCATCTGTTGGCCACTCAGCCTTGCCTCACTCGATCCCCACTGTACCACATCTGCCCTCCCTTTCATGCCTCTTTCCCCTTAATCCCACTGCAGTGACCACAAGGCGATAGCATGCCATGCATGATCGACCAGCAGCAGCCTCACTTGAGGCGCATCTGATGGTTGTTTCTTCCTTTTCACCGCGCTGCCTTGCCTTCACATGCCCACCGCACTGCACATCGTTTCACCCCTCCACTCTCACGTCATCTCGCAGTACATATTGAAGGTGAGGCTTGGACCTGCAGCCTGTGTGTGTGGCCTGGCAGGGTGTTGGATGCTTGTGAGAGCAGTCAGGTGGAGCAGGTTCACTTATGCGAAGGGGCACATGACGGGCTGCAAGGGAGATACATTATATCCATGCAATAGTGCAGGTTAGAAAACAGTTGCAGGTGGAACAGCTATACTCTGGATGAGAGCCAAGTGCATCAGAGATGTAGGGTTGCAGTTATGGTCAGTACCGTACATGCAAATGTACCCAAATGAGTTATTTCTAGGTTACCTACCGTAATTGGATTTTTTCGTCTCATGCCAGTATGGTAAATTGCAGACCAGACCAGACCATAAGGCATATAATACCGATGGATGGGTGATCTGGACATCACAAAGTAAAGTACCCTTGCAATTGCATGCTGTTCATGATGGCAATACACGTACCTACCAAACTGGTATATCAAAGCGGGCCAATCTCTGAACCCTACCAACAACCCTGCAAACATTCCAGCACCCTCCTCCCCACCCTAAGCACTCACTTCTTCCCCCCAGACGACCCATTTCTCAGCAGTCTACCGTCAACACATCCACTGTCGAGGTTTGGAATCTTGGAGATAATATCATCCTCATCCTCAAAGCTCGGGCAGACTATGATCATGAGAGTCCTGAGGTTGGTGAGGCTGGTAATAGTCTTGGGCAAGGAGACCAAATTGGGCAAAAAACTTAAAGTTAGCCGCTGCAGCTGTGAAAGATTCTCAATCTCATCTGATAGCGAAGAAAGACTTAAAGGGCCAACCAGGAAGAGCGATGAAAGATTCGAGAGCCGGAAAAGAGACATCATGAAGGCTTCTTCGTCCTCGCTTCTGGCCCTGCAGTTGGCTGGCCAACCAAACTCAAGCTCTGAGAGGCTGCTCCAAAACTGTAACAGATATGGACAGACTACGGGAATGCTGTCACAGTGGTTGAAGGAAAAGTGTCGGAGACTGGAGAGCTTGGAGAAGGAATCCGGAATGTGAGTAATGCTTCTGAGTTGGCACAGCTCGAGACGCTCCAGAGACGACAGGCGACCCATGCTTTCTGGAAGGTCCCCGAGCCTTGGGCAGTTTCTGATGACCAGCGCACGGAGGCTAGTAATACCGCAGACAGAGTCGGAAAGCGAAGTAAAAAGCCGGCAGTTCCTGATGGTAAGCGTCGTGAGAGAAACGAGGCTTGACATAGTGCTTGGAAGCGAATTGAAGTCTTCACACTTTACGATCTCAAGAACTCGAAGAGAAGTCAACTGGGAAAAGGAGTCTGGAAGTTTGGTAACAAGGCAAATTGCTTCGAAGTAAAACTCTTGGAGATTCTGGAGCTGGCCGATGGTGTCAGGAAGAGACTCTAGCACATCCATTTCTTTCAGGCTGAGTCTGATGAGTGACTTCACGTCACACCAGGCGTCCGGTAGTTCTTCGAACCCTGAATTATAGCTTATCTCAAGATCAGTCAGTCCAGTGAGCCGGCCAAATGAATTCGGAAGGGCGTAATTCCACGAGGATGCGAAAGTTAGCTTAGTCAGGGACGTTAAATTATCGAACAGATCAGGAATATCTTCGACACTCACGCGCCACTTGACCTCTTTCAAGGATGTAAGGCTGAAAAATGATGGTGGCAAATCACAGTCTTTGTTACCGCAGGCTGCCATCATATCAAGGGAGAGGTATTGCAACGCCGTGCATGCTGTGAAAAGGGAATCTAAGCCTTCATACGTCAACCCTTTCTCAAAACCGTTGCTCAGGTCAAGATGAGTCAAGAGGGGACAAACTGATCCTAGGCCACGGATGAACTCGTCATTATCCGGATCGATAACACACTTGTTGATCGTGAGAGCAGTCAATCCTTTGAACCGGGAAAGGGACTTTAGAAGGTTAGCATCTACTGTAAGGCAAGGTGGACTGTTGACGATGGACAGCTGTGCAATGTAGGCAAGGCGATTCCAACGTTTACAGACCAACGCATGATTGAAGTAGCTGGGCGAGTGCTTGTTCAGGCAGCGGAAGATGACACACACGAGCTCGTCTGGCAGCTGATTAATCGATGCTCGCAACATGACTCTACCACGATGCAAGACCAGAAACGACTATATGATTTTAGTAGCTTTACAGTTCCGAGGAAAGAGGTGGAAAACAAACGCTTGTCCCAAGTGGATGGCGTTGGCATTGACGGGAGTGCGTTGGGGCTAGAGTCTGGTTTGAGCTTTGACGTTCACCCCGTTTGGCTGCTTAGATCTACTTGGAGGAGAAGCTTCAAACGTTTAGCGTGAAAATGGACTTCACTCCACGGCTTGCTAGGGCGCTGGGACGTGCTAGTTACCGTTGGCAGTTGATTTCAGCTCGCGGTTCGGCTCATGATGAAAACAGCCGCGAACGGTACGCTGTCACGTTGAGCTTCGAACCTTGTGGAGGGTTTCGTGACATCCATCGCAATCGTCGCGAGGGACGTTCCTCGGCTGGAAACGAGCACTCAATTGTTCGCCTGACTGGCGTGGCGAAATCCATCCAGCCTCGGGGCTGCCAATCAAGGTGCAGAACTGAGCTCGGTTACAAACTGAACGAAATCAATTCATCGTCGTCGAAAGATTTGAAGCTCGGCAAAGAGAAAATGTTCCACTTCAAGCGGAAATCCGTTTATGAAGCGCATACAGAGAATTGGGGCGAAATCACCTGAGCCTATAATCAAACATTGAATATAGGTACATTGGTCTCTACATAAGTGCACATGTAGATTGAGATTATGTAAGAAAACTGGAAAAAAAAAAACCATTATTAGACAATAGCATAAAGAGGGCTTTCCGGGCGTGCTTGGACACATCATCCATCATGAAGTATTTCTCACAAAACCCCCCCTTGACATATTTGGCTTTCGGAAGCTGAGCTTTCTGCCGCTCCTCCTACAATGAGATACGGCGCATCACTCCCACCTCTCTCAACTGCACCCATCCGTTCATTTCACCCCTTCCCACTCCACGAATCTACTGCCTGCCACTCCGTACTCAAAGTCCCTCCCCTTCCTATTCTGCCCCTTCTTTTCCTGACATGGACCCTCAATCGGCAATACCGTAATTTGAAACATGACTTGGGAGCCGATTTGATCTACCATATGCCAAATCAAACAGGTGGTGCTTCCCTTCCACGAGGGCACCACGGAGGGAGACCCGTACCACGGCCGGGCCTCACTGGCCTTTGGATGCGCCTCAAACGAAGACATCTCAACTCAGACAAACAGGTGGTGCTGCCACGAGGGCAGCACAGAAGGAGACCCGTACCACGGCCGGGCGTCACTGGCCCCCACAGGCGAGTGATACACGCCGTCCAGGATCAGATTCTCCGCCCCCTCCAGCAGGGCGGCATCTTCCGGCACGACTCCGTCCCCCCACACGTCCGCCCGCCCGCACACCTGCTTGTACCCCTGCCCCACCATGCGCGCCTGGAACACACCTCCCCCAGATGCCACCTGCTTCTCAGCACCTGCCTCGTCTTCATCTGAAGCCCCACTGCTGCCCCCCTCACTCTCACTCTCACTGCCTGCCTTTGCTGATGCGCCCCTAGCTGGATTCACATCCAGGGCAAAGACGCGTGCCTCCCCCCCTGCTGCTGCTGCCACTGCTGCCACAGAGGCTGGTGCAGAGGCTGCTGCGTCTGCTGCAGGGGTGGCAGCGGCACTGCTGAACAGGGGTAAACCCTTGATATACCTGCATGAGTGGGTGAGTGGGTGAGTGGAGAGGTGCGGAGAAGGTGATGAGCAAAGCATATAATCTGTAGGCACCTCGCTAGAAGGGTGGGTGGCTATGTGGAGTGATGATGCGGAAAGGTTGAGAAATTTTGAGAGGAGAGCGGGAAAACAACGGTAGAGGGGAGCTGGGAGGGGTAAATAAGGAGGGAAACAGTAAAAAAACATCCATGCAGGCCGTGAAGAATCACACTACGTTTGTAGATTCCCGAATTGAAAAGAACCCGGTTTCAGCCAGAATAAGAAGATTCTGGGCTGCCTAACGAATGTATTACAACGGCATACGGTCTAGACGGAAGAGAAATCACATGTTTTAGGCAGACAACGTCAGCTGCTGAGGAGAGAAAACCTCACCTGCTGAGGAGAGAAAACCTCACCGCCGTGCCCGAGCGAGAAAGCCTCACCTGCCCGAGATGCAGACGTATTTGACGTGCGGTGCATGGAAGGCGCCTGGCGAGACGGCCTGCATGTGCGTTAGCAGGCCCCTTGTCTGATCCACCACCCCCTCTGCCCCTGGGGGCGGTGGGCTGGTGGGAGGTGATGCCGGGAGGGGGAGAAGAAATGGAGAAAATGAAAAAGGCAGCAAAACGGGTGAGGAGAGCTCACAGAAAGATTTGGAGGGGTAGAGGCGAGGCGAGGAGAGGGTGCGATTCCGCGGACATGCAAAGGGAGGCAGCGAAGAAGAAGAATCAGCAATAATATGCTGCTGCATGCTTGCACACTTGTCTTTTCAAATTCACCATCCATTGTCCACATGCTGCAACTCGTCCCCAAGTGCAGCACACACTCTCGCCTTCGTCACAACAACGTGCCATGCCATGGCACGCTGCACTGCCCCACACACTCACAGGTGCGGCGAGCCGAGGGAGAGCAGCAGCGCCACGTCAGCATGGCCGTACTCCGCGAGGTAGAGACGCGCCAGCCACCCGCCTGCTGAGTGCGCCACCAGTGACACCTGCGAGGCGCCTTGCAGGGGAGGATGAAGTGGGTGAGGGAGGGGGAATGAAGCGTGAAAAAACTCTGAGAGCGCTCCCTTGTAAAAAAAGCCAACAGCAGCGTGAGATATGATGACAGGGGGGCATTGTGGGATGGAGTGCAGGATGAACGTGGGGAATGCATGTGCTTGGGATGTGCAGAATGAACGGGGCTTCCATCTCAGGGATTGGTTTTTAAAACAGTGCCTTGTGTGTACAACCTGTAAAGGAATGACTGTACAGGAATGTGTACAGGTGCTCGCAAGTGAATGCATGCGTCACAAGCGCTACCCGGCAACGCAGGTTTTTGAGGCGCCTCAAAAGTCACCCGGTATCATGGGCATACCTGGGACTCTCTTCTTGGCTGCCTTCACTGCTGCTGCCACCCGCTCCAAGTACCTGTTAGGCAGGCAGTCATGCGCACACAGGGACAGCGAGAGAGAGAAACAGGGACAGGACACGGAGACATAGGGGCACAGGGACGGCGAGAAAGAGAAACAGGGTCAGGGAGACATAGGGGCACAGGGACGGCGAGAAAGAGAAACAGGGTCAGGGAGACATAGGGGCACAGGGACGGGGATGAGAGGACGAAGAGGCACAGATACCCACGACTCTCTTCTTGGCTGCCCCCCCCCGCTGCTGCCACCCGCTCCAAGTACCTGCCACGCAGGCAGTCATGCACACAGAGACATGGCAACACACAGACAGAGGCATGGAGAGACAGAGATAGAGGGTCAAGGCTGAAGGAACGATGGTACGCAGGCATGGACAGATGTGCACAGACAGAGGCATGGAGAGACAGGGACACAGGGTGAAGGGTAAAGGGACGACGGGACGCAGACGCACAGATGCACAGAGGCACAGAGACCGAGAGTCTGCATAGGCACTTCTACATCATAGCCCACCCGCGCTTCTCATCTTCTCTGCATAGGCACTTCCGATTCATACCCCAAGCACCCATCACCCACCCATCACCCACCCATAAAAGTGCTTCTCATCCTCTCTGCCAAGCCAACTGGAATGGCCGAATCGAAGCACTTGTAACCTCCATACCCCACCCTCTATACCCCACCCACCCATCACCCTCCACCACTGCCAACCCACCCACCAGTCGAGGATCGGGCGGGGCTTGAGCGTTCCCTTCCAGTAGTCTGCCTGCAGAAGCCCCGCTGCGTTGCGCAGCCAATCAGGTCTCGCCACGCGTGCTACCTCCGCCGCCACGCCCTGCGCCTCCAGCAGCGCGACGAGCTCCGCGTAATCCGCCGAGTTGTTGCCCAATCCCTGCTCGCCACGTGGCACGCACGGAGATGTCGAATGGACGGGGAGCGGAGCAGCTTATAACGGAAAAGAAATTCGAGGTCGCGGATAGGCGCGAGGACGCGAAAGGCGTGTTGCAATCGAAGAAGGAACACATGGAGAAGATGCGCGTATAAAGTGAATTTTTGAGACGTCTAAAAAAATCACTTTATACAAATGGGCGATTCGCGCGTAGGTGGATGCGCACTGTGCATCCGATACGAGGAGGAGTCCTCGCATCTTCCTCGCATGCCATGCGAGCAAGGAGCATACCGGAAGAATGACCACGGGACGAATCGCTGCTGTCGCCTCGCTGCTTTTTCTTTCCGGGACCACGCTTGGCCCCGTTGCGCCTCCTGCCGTTGCTTCTGCCGCCGCTGCTCGTGCTTTGACAGCTTTTCGTCTCTCAACCACTGCGACTTTTAGGGATGAAGATTTGCCGTCTAGCGAGCATCTCAGGCCGTCGCACATGAAGAGGTTTGAGACCGGCCGTGCTGTGACGGAATCCGTGATCGGAACGGAATCGGTCCGTCGTGCGGACCCGGAAAATAAACTGAAGCTGACGCTTCGGCTGCAGAGGCTGGTCGAAGAAGCCATCGGGCGAAACTGGAATTCGACCAAACTACGATGCCCTTGATCACTCCGGCCACCTTCCTTCGGTTTTTGTTCCGGCGCAACGGGGGCGCTAACGGCGGAGTGGTTACAGCGAGGTGGGAATCGGAAAAGGAAGCGACGCCAAACAGGTTACAGAAAACGGTGAGGCGCTACTTGACTGCCAACCCCACTCTGGGCTCGACCGGAGCTATGCACAGCAGCTAAGTCGAGAGAGTGAGACGCGCAACAGCAGTACAGTATGCCCTCAGGGCGTGTTGAAAGTGCGAAGATCGAAGGATCGGGGCTTTGAACCGATTGTCTATACCGAGCGCGACTGTAGATCCTGAGCTCGGTGTAGGCCCCTCGACAAAAACGAACCGCCAAAACAGTCACAGCATGTGTACCACGATCGCCAGAGTACAGTAGCTCTTCTGATATTGCGACAAGGCGAGTTTCGCGGGTTACAGCACTACAACGTTGGTCAACAATGTCGATGCAAAGTACAAGCAATTCCATTCTCGCACCGCCGATGACAAGGCAGAGTAGATGCCTGTCTGATTTGCCGTAATGGCGAAATCCGTTCCTCTTCGCGAGATGTGTTTTGCGAACTGTGCTTATCGCAATTTCGTGCACTGGTCAATCTCATGATCGGTCGTCAGTGCGGAGCCGATCGAGCGGGCTCCCTCCAGCTATCACAGTTGTGCACAGTGGTTGTACTGTAGCTTGGTCAATTGACGCTACAGTAGCGCGACTACGGCGGGATCGGTTTAGGGAGGGGATCGATCGCTTACTTTCAACACGCCCTCAGCATCGCACTCGAGTCAAATCATGCTGCTGCAGAGCGAAGATGCAATGCATGGCAGCGGACAAGCAGAGCGCATATCGTGTGTTCCGGTGCACTGGCGTGGCATGGAAGACGGAACTGCAAAGCGGACGGGTCGTCTGGGACGTTCATCTGTCGTCGATATTTGTGAGGAGATGACGGCGCAGATGTAAATTCGCGTGCAGTAGACGGAAGTACTGACGAGAAACAGTCAGAAAGTTTCTCAGGGCAGACCGACCCGTAAACAAACGAGCTGAACCACAAACGCGACCGACCGAAACGTGAATGAATGGGAGGAAGAACGAGCCGCGTATTTCTGTGAAAGTTGAAGAGACGACGACTGGCCCTCGTTCGCTCTGCATCCCAGCAAATGGGAGGTCGACACGCTGACGGGAAACCTTTTAATTGTCAATGCGCGATGGCGCGTAGTGTGCATTATTCAATGATGCTACACCACGAATCATATCTTACTACCTGTAAGGAAAACCTCTTTTTCCTTACTTCGTGTCCCTACTAAACGCGTACATCACTGTAGCACCACAGTCAGGACCGTTACCACTCTCAATCCACGCATCGACAATCCGCCCGCCACCTTCGCACGTCGCACCCCGACCTCACGGCTCGGCGGGTAACCCGCGCTCCGGGCCTCTGCTTCGACACTTTTCCCAACCTCAGTCCCAGGCCCGTTGTGCGACAACCACAGCCCATTACCGTTACCACTGTAGTTTCGCTGTATATTCTTCGCTCATGCATTCGCTCTTTGTAGTCTTGCTTCGATAGTGCAATTCTCGTTCGTTCGCTCAATTGCACTCGTAACACTTGGTATTCAGAGCCTACGATCTCTTCTCGGACCGCACTCACACCTTCGCTTCCCCACTATCTCAATTTTTTTTTGGGGGGGGGGGGGGGGGGGGGGGGGGGTAGACGTCTCTCAACGACACAGCACCACCGCTCGTAGTGCTCTCTCATATGCACGCACGGCCACGACTGAGGCTCTTGCTGAGCTCGCCCGACACCCCCGCCATGGCCGAATTCACGCTCGCCACATTGACGCAGGAGCAGCTCGACCGTCTGGTGCGCCAACTCGAAGATTCGGCGCTCGAAATTGCGATGCTCACAGCGGAACGTGACTCCGCGCGTCAGCAATCAACGGTGAACACTCCAGCAGCACCACACGTACCAACAAATGCACCTGCACAATCGGACGAGCCAATTGTCATCTCGTCCGGGACACCAACACAACACGACAGCGTGGGACAGCGCTCGGGCGCAGCCAGTGATAGCGCCGCCCAACCGATGCCTGGCATGGGAAGAAACAGGGGCGGGCCAAGCCCGCGGGAGCCTCGCGAAGCCCATCCGCACGTGGAATTCGCGGCGACAAGTGGCGAACAGGCCATCATGGCACCAATGCCACTCAAGCCGCAACGACCGCCCTGTTTCGACCCGAGCCAGCGTGGAGGTCCGACGGTTCAATCGTGGGTTTTCACGATGAACGTCTTCTTCGACGCGAATTACGTCGAGTCGGATGCAGCGAAGATTCGGTATGTCGTTTCGCTGTGAAGGGGCCCCGCCATGGACTGGTGGCGAGTCATCGTGACGTCGCCACGCGCCTACGAGCCACCGTCGCAAGTGGAAGGGTCCACGGGTCCAGCTGTCACCTGGAGTTCATTCTGCGAGACCGCCCAATACAGCACGTGGGATGCGTGGTGCGCAGGGCTTCATGCGTGCTTCGAGCCGATCGCGACTTCTATTTCGGCGCGTCAGAGATTGCGCACTTGTCGGCAGCTCGGGTCAGTTCAAGATTACACGAGCGGTTTTCTCGCACTTTGCGAGCAGGTCGGATACATGCACGAAGCGGAGCGGGTGAACCGTGTCAGAATATTATCTTATGTTCTAGCCTGTAGTGGGGTGCTCTATAGCGAGTACAACCCTTCTAGGGTTAGCTATTTGTATCCTCATTCTTGCTAGTTCAATCCTCTTTTTGCCTAACTTGTTACTTGCCTAGCTAGGTCATTCCTAACTATGGCTCCTGATTCTCTCTACTATCTTCACAAACCGTTACGTCGGAGGGCTGAAGCCGGATATCTCGCACGAAATCATGCTGCGCGGACTCTCAAACTTCAACGAGATTCTCGCGCTCGCCGAGAAAATCGACATTCTACGCCGACCGAGTCCGTGGTCCTACTACGGACATCGTCCTCGGGGACCGATCGAGCACGCCACTGTAAACGCTGTTGCAACGAATGCAGCTGCCGCATTGTTTAAGGGGCGCTGCTTTGCTTGCAACAGGCTGGACCTGTGAGATTTAAAACGAGAATGAATGAACTATGAAACAAGTGGGTACAATTACTAACCCTAATTAGGTTGTACCCCTTATGGGATACCCCACTACTGCCTACACAAAATGCATAAGCTACAATGTTCTGACACACCCCCATAGGCAAAGTGGGGGAGAACAAGGGGCCACAAGACCAGTCAAGCAAAGCAAAGCAAAGCAAGCTCAGGGTGGATCTCAAAGTCACCACACATTCCGAGCACAAGTTCAAGGCCACAAGGCCAGTTCACATGCAGGAGTACATATAAATATAAAAGGCTAGACAAGCAAGAGCAGGTGAATATGTATATGTAACAGTACAAGCAAGATCAAGAGGTGAGCAAGTGGGGCAAGGCAGGCACAAGACCCAGCTGAGTACAAAAGCGCTGATGGTCACAACGCGCAAGTGCCTTGGTGAAGATATCAGCAGTGTTGGCCTCAGAGGCCACATACGCAAGCCGCAACTGACCACGCTGCTGTAGCTCATGAGCAAGGAAGTAGCGGAGAGCAATGTGCTTTGTTCTGTGCTCCAGTCTCTGCTCTCGACACAAGGCCAACATGGCCTTGTTGTCTACGTATAGTACTGGAGGAGAACGAGGCGGCTCTCCGAGGTCAGACAGCAGGTAGGTGAGCCAGCGAAGCTCCTGTGCAGCCATGGCTCCTGCGTAGATCTCAGCCTCACAACTGGAGCCGAGAACAGAAGACGAGCGGGTAGCCCGCCACGAAACAGAGCCGGAACCAAGGCTGAAGGTGTAACCCTGTGACGACCGCTGCGTAGCCTGGTCGTCAGCCCAAGAAGCATCTGCGTGCCCAGTGAGGACCACTGGACTCCGTCCTCCAAGCACAAGCCCCATGCCCGACGTACTGCACAAGTAGCGCAACACCCTCTTCGGTGCAGCCATGTGCTCCGGTCTGTGTCTCCCAGGAGCAACATAGCGTGCGAGAATGCTAAGAGGGTATGCAAGGTCAGGTCGTGTGCAGGTCATCAGGTACATGAGGCAGCCAACAAGCTCTGGGTACGGGCCACTCGACTCTACGGACTCATCCGAAGGCAGAGATGAGAGCAAGTGGCGAGTAGGCAGAGGAGTGGCCTGACGCGAGGAGTACGTGAAGCCGAAGCGCTGAAGGACCTCCTGCACCATGTGTGACTAAGTCAGGGTAATGGTGCGGCGTGCTCTGTCCCGGGTGATCTGCAAGCCAAGGTAGCTGCGCAGTTCACCCAGGTCTGTGCACGTGTGTCTCTTCTGCAGCTCGAACTTCACATGGGCGAGTCCAGCAGTGTCAGCTGTGGCAAAGACCAAGTCGTCCACGTACACGAGGATGTAAAACAGTGGCAAAGAAGTGTCGGTGCGTAGAGACAGCGACGGGTCGGCAATAGAAGGAGCCAACCCAAGAGCCGCAAGCGTAGTCCTCAGTGTGTCGTGCCACTCACGCGGCGCCTGGCGGAGACCGTAGACTGGCCGCCTGAGGCTCCACTGGGTGCCAGGAGGAAAAGACCCAGTGAAGCCAGGAGGGCGGCGCAGCCAGATCTCTTCGTGGAGGCTGCCCTGTAAGAAAGCAGTGCTGAAGTCGAGAGAGTGCAGCTCGTAGTCACGGTGAGCAGCTGCATGCAGTAGTACCCGAAGATTGGTCATCTTCGGGGTGGGAGAGAAGGTCTGAAAGTAGTCGACTCCCTGCCGCTGACTGAAGCCACGAGCCACGTAACGCGCCTTGAAGACAGGCGGAGAACCCGGTGGCCGCTTCACCCTGAAAATCCACATGCCACTGACGATGTTCGCCCCAGGTGGGGGAACCTCGTCAACGTAGGTGCCTGTGGACTTCCAGGAAGCCATCTCTGTGTCCATAGCTGCCTGCCACTGAGAGGAGTAGGGACCCTCTATCGCCTCAAAGGAAGGGTCAGTGACGACAGTAGCAAGGAGACGCGTGACAGTAGGACTGGTAGCATGAAGAGAGTCGGACTCCGGGTCGGCAAGAGCAGGAAGAGAGGACTCAGGAGGAGAAGGCAAAGGGGCACGCAGGGGAGCAGTGGACGGACGCAGAGACATCCGGTGCGTGCCAGGGACAGGAGGAGAACGCGGACGCGAACCACGACCACTGCTGTAACTGTAACTGCGACGGGACAGGCTGTGGACACTCTAAGGGAGGAGGAGGACCCGTAGAAGACGGAAGACCAAGATCCTGCTGAAGGAGCGGAACGAAGTACGGCCGAGGCCGCGCGGCGACTCCAGACACAGCAGGGACAACACCAGTACCGCCAGCAGCACCTCCAGCTCCAGGACCCCCAGTAGATCCAGTAGCTCCAGGACCTCCTGCAGCACCAGTAGCACCCCCAGCAGGACCGCTAGCAGTAGCCCCAGCGCCAACATGTCAGAAGTTTAGAAGGAAGAAGAGGGGTTGAACTAGCAGCAGTTGGCATAAATATAGGAAACCCTAATCGGGTTGTACTCGCTATAGAGTACCCCATTGCAGGCTAGAGAATTATAACATTCTGACACACCCCCATAGCCAAAGTGGGGTGTAATCAGCACAATGAGCAAGCATAGCAGTAGTTCACAATTATGAGCAAAGCTAGTGGTAGTCACAGGAGGCAAGCGAGGAGGAGGAGGGACTGTGAGAGGAGAGAAGATGGGAGACGACGGCTGAAGCTGCAGGCACACGGGTAACAGGAGCGGCTGGCACAGTGGCTACCGGGAGAGCGCCCTGGACGACTGGAGTAACTGGACCCACGGGCGATAGGCGCAGCAGGCTCTCTGGGCTACCAGGACAGCGCCCCGGACTACAGGTGCTGCGGACGACAAGACGGCAGCCTCCTCTCAGCCTCCCCAAACAGTCCCACCCCCCTTGACACACACCCCTTGCTTCACCCCTAGCTCCACTCCCCCTTCACCCCCCCTTAGTACCACTCCAACGGCTCCAAGAAGTCCACCCCCCCTCAGCGGCAGGTGTAGCACAGGGAGACGGAGGAGGAGGAGGAGCAGGGAACGGCACACAGTGGGTTCACCCCCATACCCCTCACCCCCAAACCCTAATTCAGGAGAATGGGGAGTAGGAGGGGTGGGGCGCTAGAAGAAGCACTGGGGGACAGCGGTGAGGGCACGGGCAGCAAGGAACGGGCCCACCACGGGCCTGGTACAGTCGCCCGAGCCGCGCGCGGGCCTGGCGCCGCCCGTACGGGCCGTGCGCGGGCCTGGCGCAGCCCGTACGGGCCGCGCGCGGGTCTGGCGCTGCCTGTACGGGCCGCGCGCAGGCCACGACGGGCGACGAGGGGCGACGCGTGGGTCCCCGTCGCCCGTCGCGGCGCCTCCCGAGGGCGACGCGTCGAATGACGGGACAGAAGCCCGCCGCGCGCCTCGGGGCGCGCAGCGGGCAGAGAACTGCTGCGCGCCTCGGGGCGCACGGCGGTAAGAAAAAACTGCCGCACGCCACGGGGCGTGCGGCACAGAGAGTAGCAGTAGGAGTCGCAGCGGAAGCAACGAGGTGGTGAGCCCACCCACAGGATCGATCCATGGGGATCGACCTGCTCTGATAGCATGTCAGAAGTTTAGAAGGAAGAAGATGGGTTGAACTAGCAGCCGTTGGCATACATATAGGAAACCCTAATTGGGTTGTACTCCCTATAGAGTACCCCACTGCAGGCTAGACAATTATAACATTCTGACACAACACCCTCAGTAGCTCCAGCTCCAGTCGTACCTGCAGGCCCAGCAGCTCCAGTACTCCCAGTACGAGCACCTCCGGGACCCGCGACAGCAGCACCCTCAGCAGCCGAAGAACCTCCATCTCTGGCAGCACGCCTCTAGCGCCGGGCAAACCACTCGCGCAGCTCCTGTGGAGAGAGTGGCTCCCGCCGAGACGAAGCACCCGGAGAACCTCCAGGCACAGTGTCGCCAGACGCGACACGAGCAGGCCCACCTCCCTCAGGCTCCGCACCCCCACGCGTAGCACCCCCAACCTCAGCACCCCCAGTCGTAGCACCCCCAGGCTCAACACCCCCAGGTGAAGCACCCCCAAGCTCAGTACCCCCAGTCGTAGCACCCCCAGGCTCAGCACCCCCAGTCGTAGCACCCCAAGGCTCAGCACCCCCAGGCTCAGCACCCCCAGGCGCATTACCCACACGCTCAGCACCCCTAGAGTCAGCACCCCCAGGCTCAGCACCCTCAGCAGCACCAGAGTCACCAGCAACCTCGACAGGCTCGACTGCGTCTACCTGGGACACACCTGAAGGGGCAGGACCCTGAGGGGGGAGGGGGTCTACCGGGGGGGGACCTGGCACAAGGAAGAGCGGTGGCGGGGAAAGGGACGGAGTGCGGTAGGGGAAGAGGCGGTAGTAGGGGACCGACTCGTCAAACGTGACGTCCTGGGAGGACAGATCACGGCGAGAGGTGGGGTGGTAGAACTGCCACCCTGGCGCATCAGGGGGGAAACCCAGGAAGACGCACGAGGGGACAGCTTGTCCGCAGACAAGTCGCGGACAAACGCCCGAGATCCCCAGACACGGAACGCAGACGCATCGCCAACCTTCCCCGTCCACAGCAAGGCTGGGGAGGTCTCCGGCATGGAGACCCCGGGCTGAAGGTTGATCTGATGCGCCGCATACCGAGCCGCAAACGACCACAGAAAATGGGGGGCAGCCGCATGCATCATGGACGTACGAGCGACGTCCATGACCATGCCAATGCGCCACTCAGCAATCCCATTTTGCTGTGGAGAGTCTGGAAGCGTGAAGGTCTGGGGGATGCCTCGTGCACGACAGTAGGCTCGCAGGAGGCCAGATGAGAACTCTCCGCCTCTGTCAGATTGCAGACGCAGAACAGGAAATTCCGAGCCGAAGCTCTGCTTGAGCTGGAGACGAGCTGCGCGGATCTAGTCGATCAGCAACTCAGTGACATCACCCTTGCTGCGCAAGTGGAAGACTGTGGTGTAACGCGAGTAGTTGTCAACCACTAGCAGGAAGTAGCGCTCGTGACCCTGTCCACGAACGCGGGCTGGGCCCCACACGTCCATGTGAAGCGTCTGCAGCGGGGCCTCTGTCGGGGGAAACTGGGAGGAGTGAGGGGCAGCACGCTGCCGCCCCTCGACGCAGGGGACGCAGGCAGGGGCAGGCCCCGGCGGAAGGGGAGGGAGGGACCGGGGAAGACCAGAGACAAGGAGACGGGTCGCCATGCCTCGGAGACGAGGCAGGGAGGGGTGACCAAGGCGGCGGTGCCACAGGAGAGACTCGTGAGACAGGAGACGACACGAACAGGGGGTAGACTCAGGACCAGACCTGGACGCTGCAGCAAACACCTGGCCCGACGCAACTACCCGACCAGACGCAATGACAGGAGGAGACTCAGTGGTCAGTGTGTACAGGCTTGACCCCAGTTGACGTTAAAACGTGGCCAAGTGTCGGCCAGTCCGAGCACACGTACAGTGGGTCACCCTCTGACTCGCAGGAGTGAACTGGTCAACCCCCCCATCCTGTAGGTCAGCACCACTCACCAAGTTTGTAGAGAACGAGGGGAGGTAAAGATTAGACAGGTGTTAGAAGGAAATTCTGCCATGAGCAACAAAATGTCTGCGCTGGGATTCGAACTCGTGACCTTCAAATCTGTCCTGAAAGTGTCTCAGGACAGATTCAGGACAGTTTCTGCTAAGTTGCTGGTTATGGTGCACACGAGTTTCGAATTGGAGACCTTTCGATTCAAGTGTCCCGAAAGTGTCTTGTCAGGACAGATTGTGGACAGTTTGGGGACAGATTGGGGACAGTTTGGCGAAATCGATCTCGGGTCGCGTTCGGTTTGAAACTCGACAGCGAAGTGTCGAAGTCAACGGAATTCGCACGCGAGTTACAGTCGGTGGTCGATGGAATTCTTGTCGCGGAAATTCTCGTCTACGGAATTCCAGTCAATGGAATTCGCTCGGCGAAATTCAAGGCTCCGAATTTCGCGTTGACGAAATTCAACGTGCGACCCGGTCGACAGTATCTTGTGTGCTTTTATTTTGTATTGCGTCCTAGTATAAAACCAGAGAGCACAAACCAGAAATTAACCAAGTCATTATCACTGCTATGTTTGTGTGTATCTCTGGCTATAGTGGTCCGTTTCCTGCACTCTTTGGTGCGCTGGAATCGTGCTTCTGAGCTCTATCAAGCTGCTATAGTAGTGGAATTCTACATGGTGTCAGAGCTGCGTTATCTGCATCGATCCAACTAGCGGCTTGATTTTGTCCTTCCATAACTTCGTTCCCACGTTGGTGTGGCCGACGCTCGTTTTGACTGCGCATGGAGTGGTTAACGAGCGCTGAGAGCTTGAATGCCCGTCAGGAGCTGGAGGCGTCCGTTCGTGAGCACCACCCTCACTTGCGTGATGAGGAGGTCGACCTCATTGTGGATGGTCGTCTACTACGCATGGTTCGGGAGCGCGCGGCGGAGCAAGCACCTGCGAGCAGCCAGCAAGGAGGAACAGGTGAAGGAGGAGCTATGCATGAGGCTCCTAGTGCTGTGGGCATTGGTGGAGGAGCTCTTGCACCGACCATTGACACGGGAATAATCGGCACGAGCTATGGCCAATTCAAGTTTGGAGTTGAGCACATCTCGGTGACGCCGCTGCTGGAGGGAAGGCACGACCTTACCGCGTGGGTCAGCGCCATCCGACCTCAGCTCCAGTGTGCTGATTTGTGGCAGTTTTGCAATGGGACAACACCAAGCCCGGAACCAAACAACCCCTTGCAACGAAGCGAGTACGCAAAGGGTCAAATGCTTGCATTCATGGTGCTGAACCGATGTGTTTCTCCACCCATCCGAATGTCCATCTCTGGTTTCTCCCAGCAAGAGAAAGCCGGGCAGCTAGCATGGGCATATATCTTGTCTACTTATCAAGTTCGTGATGCTCTCCACACTTCCCTACTTCAGACCCAGTTAGACCAACTCAGGAAGGGAGACGATGAGACAGCGGAATCCTACTGCAATAGGGCCCGCACCATCCGAGCGGAGCTGCTGACCATTGGACAGGAGGTCCACATGGCCACGTTTGCTGCCCACGTGCTGAAGGGCCTACCACCGGAGTACGGATTTCTTTGCCGCAAGCTCGAAATTTCCAGCCCTGACATGACGGTGGAACGCGTGTGCTGCGAGGTGTTGATGGAGGAGCAGACTCTCTCCATCGAACAGAGTTAGAAGCAGATCACCAGCGATGAATCTGCTTTCTCGGGCGCTGTCAACACCATCGTGGCTACAACGGGGGTCAACGAGAAGGAAGGAAAAGGGGGGAGGGAGCAGACGGACAAGAAGAAGGATGGCAAGCGGGAGAAGAAGCGAGCCCCCTTCAAGGGGCGCTGCTACAACTGCAATGAGGAGGGGCACATGGCTGCCAAGTGCCCCAGCAAGAAGAAAGATACAACGCCCGCGGCAGCCGCGAACGTAGCTGAAGGAGACGGGAAGGGCGTGGCGCTCACCGTCGCGTGTTCGGCGGCAAAGTTGCTGGCCAAGGACAAGGACTTGTGGTTCCTTGACTCAGGATGCTCCCAACACATGACCGGCCTCAAGGAGTGGTTCACGGTGATCCGTGACCCATCTGCAACGAAATCAGTCAAAGAGTTTGATGGTTCTATGCAGGAAGTTGCCGGTGAGGTTTTGCTGGAGGGCACTAACGGCTTGCGTGTGACCCTACATGATGTTCTCTTTGTGCCAGGAATGAAGGCCAACTTGGTCTCCCCTGGGCAGCTCTTGGACAAGGGAACAAAGCTGCAAACTGAGGAAGGTGTCACTCGCTTCATCGCATCAGGAGGTCAAGTGGCTGCAACAGCACGATACCGCCATCGCCTTCACTGCCTTGACCTGAAACCGGGGCCAACAAGGAACGGTGCAACGGCTGCAGCGGTATGCAACGGCATGGCGGCTGCAGCGGCATGCAACGGCACGGCGGCTGCAGCGGCATGCACCAACATGGCGGGTGGAGCGGCGAGCAACAGCACAGAGGCTGCAGCGACATGCAACGGCATGGCGGCTGCAGCGGCATGCAACGGCAGGGCAGCTGCGGCGTCATGCAACGGCAGGGCGGCTGCGGCGGTATGCAACGGCACGGTGGCTGCAGTAATATGCAACAATACGGTGGCATGCAATGGCATGGTGGCTGAGGTGGCATGCAACGGTATGCCTAAGGCATTTGCTGAGTTGGTGTCAAGCGCGCCGTAAGAGAATGACGAAGCGGCCAGCCTCACAACATATGCGGTGGGGACCGAGGCAATGCTCAACCTGCGGCACACTCACCTTGAGAATGACCATGCTGGTGCGGTGCAGTGGACAGCCACAAACAGTGGCATGCTGGGCATGGACCTAGAGAAAGGAGGGGAGGACACGTCGAGCGCCTCCTCCCAAGAAGCCAAACTCACTCGTCAAACGCTTCCGCTGCCTGACGAGCGAGAGGGGGAGGTTCTTGGGATGGTCTATGGCCCTGAGCAGAATCAGCCGCCGTCACATACCGTCATCATAATCTCAGTGTCGTCCGTGCAAGGGGGCGAACAACCGTTTGATCGTTCGGTTGACCCTACGGGCAGCAACGCAACCATGGCTCCGCCAGCTCTCTGTCCATCCTTAGCTGCTTGCTTGGCACCTGTGGGACCAGAGGTTGGTCCCTCTGCGGATGAACGTCGTGCAGCTGATGAAGACAAGGAAGGAGAGGCAACGGACCTGAAATCGGCGACAACCCATGGGAAGGACCCCATACCCACGATTCCGCCCCTCCAGCCCACTTCCCCACCCCCATGTCATTCTAGCAGGTCCAACAAGGGTATGCCACCTGTTCGGCTTCCCGCATCCACCATGACAGCCTCGGATGTGGTTGATGGCAACAACATGTACGGCATTGCATTCCTTGCTAGAGGTGCTTATGGCACGGACATCTACTATGATGTGGAGTACTTGGATGAGGCTGATGAGGAGGAAGGGGGATTGAGGAGCATCATCATCAAACTCGAAGTAACCTTGACTGGACCTGAAGGCAAGGTAGTGGACAAAGGTCTCCTCGTGGTGGAATACATGTCATCCACGGAAGGCTATCTTGGTCTGCAAATTGTGCGCGACCACCCCAACAAGACACTCCTCCTGCACCAGAATGCATACGCGGCGAAGGTGCAACAGCGGTTCTTCAAGGGGGCGCCACTGAAGAAGCAGCCTATCACTCCTCTCTCCTCTGCCAGCTTTGCCAAGCAGGATGCCGGCCAGTTTGCCAATCGTACCATGACCGAGTACTTGTCAATTCTCGGCATGGTGCAGTTTGCAGCCATCTCAACCCGTCCTGACCTCTCTTTTGCATGCAGTCGCCTTGCAGCAGGTGCACACCTCAGGACCGATGCGCATTGGCATGAGCTCTTCCGCACACTCTCCTACTGGGCTGCCTCACCGAACAAGGGGCTGCTGTTCAAGGGAGGACCAGACAGTTTGACTCTCGTAGGGTATGCAGATGCGGATGATGCAGGCGACAAGGAGAACCGGTCGTCCACGGGAGGCTACCTCTTCAAGCTTGGCGGAGCTGCCGTTTCATGGCAGGCCAAGAAGCTACAGGGTGCAACCAAACTTTCCTCCACCGAGAGTGAGCTTGTGGCTGCGGTGGAAGCGGGAAAGGAGGGGCGCAAGCTAAGGTTCCTGTTGTGGGAGTTTCAACTGCTCAAGAAGGGTGTCCCCACCACCCTGTACGTCGACAACATGTCAGCGGTGCAGCTCAGCCAGGCGGGCGGGCTGCAGGGGCGCATGAAGCATGTGGACCGTCGCCACATGTGGCTACAGGACATGGTGCGCATGAAGAAGTTGCAGGTGCAGCACATCCCTACAACGGCGCAGCCCGCGGACTTCTTCACGAAGCGGCTCGAGAAGGCAGCCTTCAACCGATGCTGTGCAGCAGCCGGGCTGGTCCAGCGTGCTCCTGACAGCAAGGGGGCATGTTAGAAGGAAATGCTGCCATGAGCAACAAAATGTCTACGCTGGGATTTGAACTCGTGACCTTCAAATCTGTCCTGAAAGTGTCTCAGGACAGATTCAGGACAGTTTCTGCTAAGTCGCTGGTTATGGTGCACACGAGTTTCGAACTGGAGACCTTTCGATTCAAGTGTCCCGAAAGTGTCTTGTCAGGACAGATTGGGGACAGTTTGGGGACAGATTGGGGACAGTTTGGCGAAATCGATCTCGGGTCGCGTTCGGTTTGAAACTCGGCAGCGAAGTGTCGAAGTCAACGGAATTCGCACGCGAGTTACAGTCGATGGTCGATGGAATTCTTGTCGCGGAAATTCTCGTCTACGGAATTCCAGTCAATGGAATTCGCTCGGCGAAATTCAAGGCTCCGAATTTCGCGTCGACGAAATTCAACGTGCGACCCGGGTCGACAGTATCTTGTGTGCTTTTATTTTGTATTGCGTCCTAGTATAAAACCAGAGAGCACAAACCAGAAATTAACCAAGTCATTATCACTGCTATGTTTGTGTGTATCTCTGGCTATAGTGGACCGTTTCCTGCACTCTTTGGTGCGTTGTAATCGTGCTTCTGAGCTCTATCAAGCTACTATATTAGTGGAATTCTACAACAGGGTGCCAGAGGGAGCCGCCGGACACGGGAGGACAGTGGAGAAGTGAGCAAGGATATGACCCCTAGAGGGGTCTGCCAGAGAGACTCCAACTGGCCGACCAAGCGGCGTGAGTGTGGTGCGGTCTCGAAAGAAGGAGCAAGAAGCCCCAGAGTCAAAGGTGAAGGTGAGGGAGGCCGAAGCCGACGCAGTACCTGAGAGAGCAGACTCACCAGCACCTAAGGAAGCAGACGCACTGGCACCTAGAGCAGCAGCCTCGCAAGCACCAAGAGCAGCAGCCTCACCATCACCTAGAGCAGCAGTCTCGCTAGCACCAACAGCAGCAGCCTCACCAGCACCTAGAGCAGCAGTCTCAATGCCCGGGTCGGGCGGAAAACACCGGTAATAGTCACACTCATCACTAATAGTCACAGCATACATAACAGCAAGAATAGCATCAAAGTCAAGGTCAAAGATAGCAACCCCCGCCCTAGACAGCTCGCCCCAGCGAGGGATCTATGTGGCCTCCGGGAACTGGTGACGCCAAGCGTCCGTCAGGCGGCCAAAGCAGCGCTGGGTGGGGTGCGCACCCCCACTCTGCTCACCCGCACGGTCGCCGGTGCGCAGGACGTAGGTGCACGGACTAGTACCCCCACACCGCTGGCGTGCAGCGTACCACTCACCGAGCTGCTGAGGGGGGGAGGATGTCACGAGTGCGCTGCTGTTGCTGCTGCTGCTGGCGCTGACCACCACCGGAGCCGCCCCTCTGCGGAGCGCTACCCCGACCAGCTCCACCTCCTAAGCCTCCGCCTCCTCCACCGCCGCCACCTACGCCACCTCCGCTCCCAACGCCACCGCCGCCTCCGCCTCCGCCTCCACTGCCGCCACCGACACCTCCACCCCCGCCACCACTCCCACTACCACCCCCACCCCCTCCGCCGGCTCCACCGCCACCTCCACCGCCCCCGCCAGCTCCTCCCGCGCCCTTGCCCTTGCCTGTGCGGCGCTTTCCCGAAGGGGCAGACGCAGCGCTGACCAACTCGAAACCAATGAGGTTGGCCGCAGCAGCAGAAGCAACAGAGGCCAAAAGGGGGGAGGGAGAACCCTCAAAGACGGGGGTGCGGGGTTCACCACGAGAGGCTCTTACAGCAACTATGCTCTTCTCTACTGCTAGGAGGGCCTTCTCGAGGAGGTCAACGTTGAGAGTGGTGGGGCAAACTGAGAGGAAGTGGTCTCGGACTACGCGAAGGGAGTCAAGGAGCCGGGTGTCTATGTAGTAGAGAGTGATGTACATGGGGGGGGGGGGGGGGGGGGTTTGGCGCAGAACTCAGCAGGAAGTGCAGTGCTGTAGCGAGTGTCACTAGTGCGGAGGTGTCTAATGAGGTCAGCGACTGTGGGAAAGGCAGCAAGGTCAGGGAAGAGGTACGGTAGCATGAGGCAGCTCAGTGCAGCAGTGACAGGGGAGGAGTAGCGTGCAACTACAGCGTCGTACAAGGTCTGAGCACTCTTGTACTGACTAAAGTGCGCACGCTCAGAGGTAGGCAGGTGGCAACGCATAGCAAGACGTGCAGCAGCATCGCGCGTGGCCCACTGTGAGCGAACAGTGGCGTCATCATCAGCAGCAGGGGCAGGAGAGGCACCAGAGGTGAGGTCAAAGAGAGAGAGACCGTCTGCCCTATCGCACTGTAGGAAAAGCTGCAGGTCATCTATCCAGACGTCAAAGTCAATGGCCCGACCCTCAGCGTCAAAAGCAAGGACACTAGGGGTAGCCATGACAGCAGTAGACTAGCAGCGCGAACAGTAGGGTGAGGGCAGTGCAGTGACAGAGGCGCTGCTCTTACCGGACAGGGCGGCTCGGGCGGCTCGGCTACAGGGCGACTCTGCGGCTCGGCAGCTGGGCGGCTCGGTGGCTCGGCTGCTGGGCGGCTCGGCGGCTCGGCTGCTCGGCGGCTTGGCTGCTCGGCGACTCGACTGCTGGGCGGCTCGGCGGCTGGGCGGCTCAGCTGCTGGGCGACTCAGCGGCTGAGCGGCTTGGCTGCTGGGCGGCTCTGTGGCTCGGCGGCTCTACTGCTGGGCGGCTCGGCTGCTGGGCGGTCCGGCGGGGCCACAAAGGAGGCGGTGGGAGGGCCGCTGAGAGGGCGGCGTCCGGGGCCGCTGAGAGGAGGCGGCGGGGCCGCTGAAAGGGCCGCGGCGGGGCCGCTGAGAGGGCGGCGACGAGGCCGCTTCCGGGGCGGCGGCAGGGCCGCTGAAAGGAGGCGGTGGGGCCGCTGAAAGGGCGGCGACGAGGTCGCTTTAGGGGCGGCGGCGGGGCCGCTGAAAGGAGGCGGCGGGGCCGCTGAGAAGGGCGGCGTCGGGGCCGCTGCAAGGGTGGCGACGGGGCCGCTGGAAGGGCGGCGACAGGGCCGCGGGAAGGGGGACGACGGGGCCGCTGGAAGGGCGGCGTCGGGGTCATGCAAGGGCGGCGACGGGGCCGCTGGTGAAAGGGCGGCGAGGGGCCGCAGGGGGAGAGCGACGACGGGCCACGAAGGGCGGCGGATCGAGGCCGCAAGGGTGGTAGATCGGGTCCGCGAGGGGCCGCTAAGGGGCCGTGAGGGCGGCGAGGGCGGTGCAACGCGGCCGTTAGGGTGGCGCGACGCGGCCGCTAGGGCAGCGCGACGGGGCCGCGAGGGGCCGCTAAGGGGCCGTGAGGGGCCGTGAGAGCGGTGTGACGGGTCCGCTAGGGGCCGTGAGAGGAGAGACCCATGGAGCGCGACTCGGGCAGGGACTGAGCGCGCTCCGGGCAGGAAAAAAAATCGAATTGGTGGGCCCTAGGAACAGTTCCCACGAGGGAACCTGCTCTATACCATGTGAAATTTAGAACGAGAATGAATGAACTATGAAACAAGTGGGTACAAGTACTAACCCTAATTGGGTTGTACCCCTTATGGGATACCCCACTACTGCCTACACAAAATGCATAAGCTACAATGTTCTGACAGGGCCATCGCAAGAGCGAATGCCCAGAGGAGCTAAGGCGCCGCGGAGCAAAGCAGGGGAGGGAGTCTCAGAGGCAGGGAAACGCCAGCAGTCAGTAGAAGTTGCGCCAACTACTGACGAGACTGCCTGCTCGCCCAACCAAGCTGACCCTCACCAAGTCACAGTACCGATTCACGCCATCGATCAGGCTCGGATGAATAAGGAGGGTACAACGATGGATTGCTTAGTACTGATCCACGGGAAAATACAGGGAGCAGCAGTGAAGATTTTTATCGACGGAGGAGCAAGCAACAATTTAGTTAATACCGCAACTGCGCGAAAATTACAACTGACACTTAGTCGCTGCTTACCTGAGATCGACGCACGCTTAGTTGACGGCACGCAGCTGGCCATACGGGAGAAGGTGGAGAGAATAAAAGTTCGTTGCGGGGGAAACTTCGGGTTTACACAGGAAATGCTCGCGACGACATTGGATGGGCATGATGTTTTACTGGGTCGTGATTGGCTACCACGATACAACCCATGGATCGACTGGACGACGGGTAGTTGCACTGTGCGAAGTAGCGGTAACTGGGTCATGCTACCTCGCTGGCAGTCGCCCGAGTCTTCAACGGTCCACGTCAAAGCCATCACAATGAAACGTGTTGTCGCCGCTGGAGCTGATGTGTACGCAGTAGGTACTGTATAGCATTAGTAGGAGAAGCGGAGTAGCCGAGCGATTTTCAGAAACTGTTGGCAGCAGTACCGCCCGAACTACAGGAACTGTTGAAATAGTACCCGGGGATTTTTCCAGACGACTTACCAGAAGAGCTGCCACCTCAGCGGGCGCATGATCATAGGATCGAGTTAGAACCGAGGGGACAGCCAATTGTACAGCGCCAATTTAGACTCACACAGCCCGAGCTCGACGAACTAAGGAAGCAGTTAGATTATTTGTTAGAAAAGCAGTTCATTTGACCAAGTTCGCCACCGTTCGCCGCACTGATACTGTTCACACTGAAAAAAGACGGAGGGTTTCGCATGTGCATCGATTACCGAGCGCTCAACAGGGTAACAGTCAAGTCGCGGTACCCCATTCCCCGCGCCGACGAACTAATCGACCAACTGCGAACAGCACGGGTGTTTTCGAAAATAGACTTACGGGGGGGGGGTTACCATCATATTCGGGTCGAACCATCGGACTGCGCCAAGACAACATTTAGGACTAGGTACGAGTCGTTTGAGTACACGGTGATGCCTTTCGGGCTGACCAACGCGCCCGCAACATTTCAGATGACCATGAACGAGGCGTTTAGGCCACTCTTAGATAAATGCGCGATTGTTTACCTCGACGACATCCTCGTCTACAGTCGCGACAAGCAGCAGCATTTAGCGGATCTCGAAGCAGTATTTAAAGTTTTAGAGGAACATCGGTTACTAACCAAGGGATCTAAGTGCGAGTTTTTTCAGGACAGACTAGAGTTTTTGGGGCACGTTATTTCGGAGGCTGGAGTTGAAGTCGACCCAAAGAAGCTGGATACGGTAAAAGCGTGGCGTCCCCCGACGAACATCACGGAACTGCAGAGTTTTTTAGGGTTCGTTAATTATGTTCGTCGGTTCGTCCCCGACATGGCACATTTGACTACCCCGCTGACGGATTTACTACGAAAGGGGGTCGTTTTTACGCGGGGGAAGAAAGAGCATGCTGCCTTCTCTGCCCTGAAAAATGTTCTCTATTCACCGCCCGTCCTGCGCATCGCCGACCCACACCGCCCCTTCGAGGTTGTTACAGACGCAAGCGACATCGCCATTGGAGCCGTACTGCTACAGGACTTCGGCAACGGCCTACAGCCCATCGCATACGGGTCACGAAAACTGCATCCGCCCGAGCGAAATTACCCGATACACCACCGCGAAATGCTCGCGATCGTGCATGCGTTCAAAGTGTGGCACTGCTACTTGACTGGCGCAGACGTGACAGTACGGACAGACCACTGATCACTACAGTACCTCCGCGCACAGCCCCACCTCAACCCACGACAGATTCGGTGGCTCGATTTCCTCGAGTAAAACTTCCACTACACAATCACCTATAAAAAAGGAGCCTCGAACATCGCCGACGCACTGACCCGCCCCACTGCCCAGATCCACGCGATACTACTCGCCCAGACCAGCCCGCTACTGACAGGACTATTTACCCACGGATATCAAACGGACCCATTCTTCACAGGAGGAAATTCGCAGCAATTCGTAGCAGCCAAGGGAGTCTATTACGTAAGAGCCGGGACCGACCGCATCTGGGTACCAGGGTACACACTGCTACAGGAATTACTATTACAGGAGGCACACGACGGGGTTACCTCGGGACATTTCGGGGTAGAGAAAACACGGTAGAAGCTGCAGCGGTATTATTACTGGCCCGAAATGTTGACCGACATGCAGCGACACGTGGCATCGTGTCCCACTTGCCAGATCATGAAGTCAACACGGAAGCGGCTGGCGGGACAGTTGCAGCCAATCCCACCTCCAGAGCGTGCTTAGCAGCAGGTGACGATGGACTTCGTCACGGGGATACCGGCCAGGGCGAGTGGAAATGACGCGATCCTGGTCGTCGTCGATCGACTGACGAAAATGGCACACTTCGCAGCCTGCAAAAAATCAATCACAGCCGAAGAAACAGCCCGCCTCGTCATCTCTACTGTCGTTCGACTGCACGGGATACCAACATCAATCATCAGCGACAGAGACACGAAATTCACCAGCAACTTCTGGCGGAACCTGTGGCAGCAGTTCGGCACGCGACTACAGACGAAACAGACGGACAGACAGAACGGACAAATCGGACCGGGCCACGTGCGACGACCCAAACACGTGGGAACAGCAACTGCTACTCATCGAATTCGCATACAACAACGCCCCATCCGCCACGACCCAACAGTCATCGTTTTACATGAATTATGGACAAGACCCAACAGTTTAGTTCATCGTACCACCCCGAAACAGACGGACAGACAGAACGGACAAATCGGACCGGGCCACGTGCGACGACCCAAACACGTGGGAACAACAACTGCCACTCATCGAATTCGCATACAACAACGCCCCATCCGCCACGACCCAACAGTCATCGTTTTACATGAATTATGGACAAGACCCAACAGTACCCATGACCCCGAATCCCGACAACCCGGTTCCACGCGCGCAACAGTTCGCCGAAATTTTGCAAGCAGCACGGACCAGGGCAGCAGACGCAATTAAAAAAGCTAACATCATCGCTAAACGCAACGCCGACCGCCACCGCAGACCTGTCACTTACCAGCCCGACGACTTAGTTTTGCTCGACACCCAAAATCTCCGACTGCACATCACCCCGAAACTCCGCCCCCGATACTGCGGGCCATTTCGCATAAGCCACATGCTTACACCTGTCACCGCCCACCTCCTCCTCCCTGCTGACTGGTACGTCAGCCCCTCATTCCACGCCAGCCTACTTCGCCCTTACGTCCCGTCCACGAGCCAACTGCCACGCAATCGCCCAGCCAGCATGACAAGACCACCGACTGAACCAATCATCACCACCGAGAAAATCCTGAGTCACAGAGTTCGCGACCCTCGAGGAGCCAGAAGGATCGAGTTCTTACTCCGTTGGAAGGACCGTACACCCACCGAAGACAATTGGGTTCCCCTGGACAGAATCGAAAACCACCCCGTCCTCACCGAGTATCTGCGCAGCTGGAATTTCAGGGATGTACACGCACTTTCGTAAGGAAGACCTCCTTAAGGGGGGGGGGGGGTAGTGTAAGGAAAACCTCTTTTTCCTTACTTTGGAACCTCTTTTTCCTTACTTTGGAACCTCTTTTTCCTTACTTCGCACGTCGCACCCCGACCTCACGGCTCGGCGGGTAACCCGCGCTCCGGGCCTCCGCTTCGACACTTTTCCCTACCTCAGTCCCAGGCCCGTCGCGCGACAACCACAGTCCATTACCGTTACCACTGTAGTTTCGCTATATATTCTTAGGTCATGCCTTCGCTCATTATACTCTTGCTTCGATAGTGCAATTCCCGTTCGTTCACTCAATTGCACTCGTAACACTCCCAAAGAACGGCCACGAATTCCATCTTGCAATTAGCAAGCATTATCACAATGAATCGCCTAGTGCTTGACTTTCCAAATGCGGAACAAAGACACATTACAGATCAAGGCAGATTAAGCTACACCGTCCTGTTAGCACTAATACATCAAGCTTCAAATGCTACACGGCACAACCCAGCCCCGCCCAGCCAACCGCAATCCCCCCATCATCGGGTGCTGCGTGGCAGATGGCACATGGCACACGCCCGGCCAGGCAACGGGTTTGCATACGTGCAGTGCTCACACGACCAATACGCCGTCTCTTCCCGCTCCCTCCCTGCCGTATTCCCCACCGTCATCGCCGCTGCCGCCGCCGCAGCGGCCGCTTGAGATGACGACGACCGGAAAATACTCCCGCGGCTCGACCCCGCACCACCCCCACCACCCGCCGCTGCTGCTCCCGCAGACGAACCACTAGGGCCTGCAGCAGACGAGCCAGCAGCGGAGGTGGAAGCAGCGGCGGCGGAAGCGGCAGTGGTGCGGGAGCGGGTGCGGGCGCCGAAGCGGGACTGGGAGATGCGCGACGTGCTGGCGATGGCTCGCCCCGCTGCTGCTGCTGCGGCGGCAGCAGCGGCACGTGTGGAGGAGGCGGCTGTAGAGGCGTTCTCGACGTCTGCCAGGCCGTTCTCGAGCGCTCTCACTAGGTTCTCAAAGTACGTGTGTGTCACACTGGTGGGGAAAGAAGGTGGAAAGGAGGGAGGGGGGAAGGGAGGGGGGGATGGAGGCAGTGCTGGGTTGGTGAGTGCGATGGCCACACAACCCATCTCCCCTGTTAATTATTTCTTATCCCCTTGTCACTTTCCTCTTCTCACCCAGACAGTAATCGGCGCCTGAACAATTGTCTCACTGAAACATGCAACCATCCTTGGAAACATCTCAAAAGCCACCTACCACAGCCTTCTAACCTAACCAGCTTCACCATACCAATTCCCACCCGTCCACATTGCATACCACCCCTTCCCACTAACCTGGTCAATCCTGCCAGTTGCCAGCGGAAGTTGTTGAACGAGGTGGGCGGGTCCCCATCATCGCAGATGTAGAGGTCGAGCTGTTCCTCCACCATCTTGTGCAAATGATCTCACACTTGCACATCCACTAACCAACCTCTGCTTACTACCCCATCTCTCTCACCTCGTGAGCCCCGCCAGTCGTGACCGGAAGTCATTGAACGAGGTGGGCGGCGGGTCCCCGTCATCACAGATGTAGAGCTCGAGCTACTTCTCGGCCATCTTGTGCTCCCGTGCCCCATCTGCCCCTGCTTTCTTCACACACTGCATACTGCTCACTAACCCGCACCGCTCTCACCTGGTGAGCCCCGCCAGTCGTGACCGAAAGTCATTGAAGGAAGTGGGGGGCGGGTCCCCGTCGTCACAGATGTAGAGCTCGAGCTCCTTCTCGGCCATCTTGTGCAGATTCTCCAGCGCCGCGTCCGCCTCGCCCTGCAGGTACTCAAAGAACTGCCGCCGCGCCACCTCCGCCTCCGGCAGGTAGTAGCCGTACGCGTACGTCCACTTGAGCACTCGCCTGCACTCCACCACCTGCACGTGACCGCCAGGGGGAAGGGCAAATGGAATGGAGCCAAGGAGTGAAGAGGGTCAGATGTGGCACATAAAGCAGCGTCCGCCTCGCCCTGAAGGTACTCAAAGAGCTGCCAACGAGCCACCTCCGCCTCTGGCAGGTAGTAGCCATACGCGTACGTCCACTTGAGGACTCTGCAACACTCCACCACGTGGTGATGAAAGGAGAGAGGGAGCAAGGGGGTGTAGAGCGATCATGTGACCACCTCTGCTTCTGGCAGGTAGCAGCCGTACGCGTACGTCCACTTGAGGACTCGCCTGCACTCCACCACCTGGTGAGGAGGGAGAACGGAGGGAAGGCGGGGAAGGGATGAGGAGAGTGCAGAAATTTGGCATTGTCACCTCGGCCTCCGGCCGGCAGGTAGTAGCCATACGTCCACTTGAGGACCCAAAGGCACTCCACCACCTAATGAAGAGGGGAGAGAGGGGGAGGGAAGAAAGAGTGCAGATGGTTCAAAAGGCCACCTCCGCATTGGGCAGGTGGTAGCCATACACGCACGCCCACTTGAGGACTCTGCGACACTCCACCACCTGGTGTGGCGAGGAGGGTAAGGAAGCACAGTGGGAGGGAGATAAGCAAGGGGATGCAGAGGGTTGCCACGACCACTTATGCCTCTGGCAGGTAGCAGCCATACACGTATGTCAACTTGAGCACCCGCCTGCACTCCACCGCCTGGCGAGGAAGCGGTGGAGAGGAGAAGGAAGCAAGAGAGTGCAGGGGATTGATGTAGAACGGAATCGTTCTGGAGAGATTACCACTTCCGCACCGAACCCCTCCTCACCTGCAGCCATGCATCGATGACTCACCTGCAGCCATGCATCGATCACTCACCTGCAGCCATGCATCGATGACGAACTTGAGTTGCGAGACGGGCTGGCTGTGGCGCTCACTCAGTTGCTCTATCTGCCATGGCGATACACACCCCCATGCACACCCCACAACACGCCGCGATGGAAGGTAATGCAACACACCACGCAATAACAAAAAGGGAGGAAACCATCAGGAGTCAGGCACACCACAAGCTTAGACGAACTACCCACCAAAAAAAAAAAAACAAAGAGAGGCGGTATGGGAACCACCCTGCAACACACAGACTGCCCCATTCACCCCGCCCCCATTCATCCCGCACCCATTCACCCCGCACCCATTCACCCCGCCCCCATTCACCCCACCCCCATTCAACCAGTGAGTGAGTGGAAGTACCTTGACTGTTTGCATCTCGCGCAACGACTCGAGCGCCTTTACTCTCGACTGGAGGGGCAGCACATTGCAAGGGGGTGGGGAAAGGGGGGGGAGGGGGGTGGAGTGTGGAGAGAGAGAGAGAGGGAGAGAGAAAAAGCATGTGTATATGCATTATGTGGGTAGACTTGCATCCAGGGAGGCGGTGGCGTGGGACAGTCATTTGGACAAATATGGTGGGAGGTTATAGCAGAAATCAACCAGACAAGACTGGAAAAAAAAAACCCTGTATCTTCACCCTTGCAACGGTTGACCCACAAATCCCCTCACACTGGTCTTTCTCAAAAACAGGTCTGACAATGTGTAGCCATCCAATGTGTAGCCATCCAGACCGCAGCACCAGTGCAAGCTAAGTGGACATGGAAGGGTATATATGCTGGCCGCTTTAATTTCTAGGCCCGGACGCTAAATGTATGCTTGACTTAAGCGAGGCAGAATTTTTTTTCGGGCTTAGGTTAAAAAAGCGGGGGGGGGGGGGAAGGGGGGAGGGGGGAGGGCAGAGGGGGGAGAGGGTAAAAATGGGATATAGGTGGCGAAATACCACACAATTCCAGAATGAAGTTGAAAAAACTAAAACAATTGGAATTATTCCAATAATTAACTTGTGAGCTCCCACACACAACCAGTCCACCACGCACACACCCTAATCCATCTACTAAAACTCATCAGAAAGCACCCAAACACCCTATTCTCCTCACCCTCCTCTGGGGCGACGTAATCCGCACATGGCATGCGTTTCAAATCTCGTAATCGTGTCGTCAAGGAGTCCCTATGGCAGCTACACTGTCGGGAAAGGCTCTTCAATCTGCATAGAAACCACCTCCGCCTAGTCTCTTCTAGTTTCTTCACCTTTTACTACACGGAGGTGGTTCTCATGGAGATCGACGAGTTTCTCTTGACAGTGCGTCTGCCATCGAGACTCCTTGGCGATGCGTCAGTCAAAGAGACTTTGAAATGCGCACCCCCTCTTGCCCCACAAGTTCGTTGGCAGCCAGCCAGCGCTCGTAGTAATGGGTGCACTTCACTTCACTGCTACTCCTTCTCAACATCGTTGAGTGCCCACACCTACTTGTTGTACATCCCTCCCATCCTATGCACTCTGTCCCCACCTGCTCATTAGCGGCCCAGCGCTCGTAGTAGTGGGTGCACTTCTCCAGTGAGTTCTTCGCCATCTGTCCCCCATTCCCCCATTCCCCCACTCCTCTCATACCCCACACTCCACCTCCCTAAAAAAAGTTGCGAGAAAACCTGCTCATTGGCAGCCCAGCGCTCATAGTAGTGCGTGCACTTCTCCAGTGCGTTCTTTTCTTCGCCATCACTCCCCCACCCCACTCCCCCACCCCTCTCATACCCCCCTCCCATCCTTGCCCCACCTGCTCATTGGCAGCCCAGTGCTCGTAGTAGTGCGTGTACTTCTCCTCACCTCACCTACTCTGTATCGTTCCTTCCCCGCACCTGCTTGTTCCCCCCTCCCTTGCCCCACCTGTTCGTTGGCAGCCCAGCGCTCGTAGTAGTGCGTGTACTTCTCCAGTGAGTTCTTCGCCATCTCCCTCCGCCTCTCCGTCTCGTCGTACTGCCCGCACCACAGCCAATCAGAGGTGCAGTACGGACGAACGGGAGAGAGTGCAAGCAGGGAGATGGTGATGATAGTACAATCCATTCCATGGGATGACGATTGGGAAATTGCACTTAAGGGGAGGTGAGGTGGGCACAAGAAAGAGAGAGAGAGCGTGCATGATTGAAGAAGTGTTCTGAGACGTCTCGAAAATTGCACTTGAGGTGAGGTGAGGTGAGGTGAGGTGAGGTGGGCACAAGAGAGAGAGAGCGTGCATTACACAAGGGGAGCAGGAAAACTCAGAGCTCAGCAGAAGGTCTCCTAAGGCAAAGGCGCTGTCTGGCAGACAGACAGGGACAGGGGGAGGGAGGAGGAAGGCGAAGACCGTTGCGTGGTGGCGGGCGGGGGATGGGTAATGTGTTCATAGGGGAGGTAAGGTAAGGGATGGGTAATGTGTTCATAGGGGAGGTAAGGTAAGGGATGGGTAATGTGTTCATAGGGGAGGTAAGGTAAGGGATGGGTAATGTGTTCATAGGGGAGGTAAGGTAAGGGATGGGTAATGTGTTCATAGGGGAGGTAAGGTAAGGGATGGGTAATGTGTTCATAGGGGAGGTAAGGTAAGGGATGGGTAATGTGTTCATAGGGGAGGTAAGGTAAGGGATGGGTAATGTGTTCATAGGGGAGGTAAGGTAAGGGATGGGTAATGTGTTCATAGGGGAGGTAAGGTAAGGGATGGGTAATGTGTTCATAGGGGAGGTAAGGTAAGCTCACCACGCCCTCGTGCTTGGCGGACTCGTATCGGTTGCACGCGTAGAATCCACCCGTCTTCTCCCCGTGCTCCGACCACGACCCTAGACACAGCCTGGCCAGATGGCACGGTCAGGAGGACGGTGAAGGGGAGGGTGAGGGCGGGAATAAGCAGAGGAGAAACGTTGCAGGGTCTAGACACAGGCAGCAGCTTTTGAGTCGACTCAAAAGAAACGTTGCAGGGTCTAGACACAGGCAGCAGCTTTTGAGTCGACTCAAAAGAAACGTTGCAGGGTCTAGACACAGGCAGCAGCTTTTGAGTCGACTCAAAAGAAACGTTGCAGGGTCTAGACACAGGCAGCAGCTTTTGAGTCGACTCAAAAGAAACGTTGCAGGGTCTAGACACAGGCAGCAGCTTTTGAGTCGACTCAAAAGAAACGTTGCAGGGTCTAGACACAGGCAGCAGCTTTTGAGTCGACTCAAAAGAAACGTTGCAGGGTCTAGACACAGGCAGCAGCTTTTGAGTCGACTCAAAAGAAACGTTGCAGGGTCTAGACACAGGCAGCAGCTTTTGAGTCGACTCAAAAGAAACGTTGCAGGGTCTAGACACAGGCAGCAGCTTTTGAGTCGACTCAAAAGAAACGTTGCAGGGTCTAGACACAGGCAGCAGCTTTTGAGTCGACTCAAAAGAAACGTTGCAGGGTCTAGACACAGGCAGCAGCTTTTGAGTCGACTCAAAAGAAACGTTGCAGGGTCTAGACACAGGCAGCAGCTTTTGAGTCGACTCAAAAGAAACGTTGCAGGGTCTAGACACAGGCAGCAGCTTTTGAGTCGACTCAAAAGAAACGTTGCAGGGTCTAGACACAGGCAGCAGCTTTTGAGTCGACTCAAAAGAAACGCTGCAGGGTCTAGACACAGGCAGCCGCTCAGCAGCGAGAATGAGGACGCACAGGAGCATCACAGGCGCTTGAGGAGGCACAGGAGCATCACAGGCGCTTGAGGAGGCACAGGAGCATCACAGGCGCTTGAGGAGGCACAGGAGCATCACAGGCGCTTGAGGAGGCACAGGAGCATCACAGGCGCTTGAGGAGGCACAGGAGCATCACAGGCGCTTGAGGAGGCACAGGAGCATCACAGGCGCTTGAGGAGGCACAGGAGCATCACAGGCGCTTGAGGAGGCACAGGAGCATCACAGGCGCTTGAGGAGGCACAGGAGCATCACAGGCGCTTGAGGAGGCACAGGAGCATCACAGGCGCTTGAGGAGGCACAGGAGCATCACAGGCGCTTGAGGAGGCACAGGAGCATCACAGGCGCTTGAGGAGGCACAGGAGCATCACAGGCGCTTGAGGAGGCACAGGAGCATCACAGGCGCTTGAGGAGGCACAGGAGCATCACAGGCGCTTGAGGAGGCACAGGAGCATCACAGGCGCTTGAGGAGGCAGAGAGCAGCAGAACCCCTTCCCGCATGCCCCTCTGCCCCCCTCACTCCAACCACACCACACACGCCTTCAACCATCTGAGCATTACATGCCTTCAACCATCTGAGCATTACATGCCACAATATGCGAGAAGAGCAGAGCAGAGCAGAGCAGAGCAGAGCAGAGCAGAGCAGAGCAGAGCAGAGCAGAGCAGAGCAGAGCAGAGCAGAGCAGAGCAGAGAAGAGCAGAGCAGAGCAGAGCAGAGCAGAGCAGAGCAGAGCAGAGGAGAGGAGAGAAGAGCAGAGCAGAGCAGAGGAGAGCAGAGGAGAGCAGAGGAGAGCAGAGCAGAGCAGAGCAGAGCAGAGAAGAGCAGAGCAGAGCAGAGCGGGGCCCACCAGCAGAACTCGTATTTGCAAGGCGGCGTGCAGGTCATGTGCATGCAGCCCTGGTTCTTCTCGATGGGCCGCTTGCACTTGGGACACGACTTGGAGTTCGCCAGAATCCTGCCAGCCACGCACGCGTTGAGGAGGATCAATTCAAAGAGCAGGTGTGGGTGGAGAGTACGAGGGAAGGAGGACAGCACAGGACAGAAGTCTCACTCCCAATAGCCAAAAACGAAAAGAGGGGGGGGGGGGGGGTGGGGGGGGGAGGGGGAGAGGTGAAGAACATAAGGAGCAAGCAAGGCCGATACTCGTTGATTGATGCCTCATTCATACCAGTTCATGTTTTCTGACTCGGCACTGTTCTTGAGAATCCACTTGCCCACCGTCTCACAGTCCACTGGCCGATGCGCCTCCTCCAAACACTGCCGGGCGATGACCGGAGGGAAGGCAGGGCCAGGCGGTGAATGAGAGGGAATTCTGGTGGAAAGGGAGAGCTCCTCAATTAAACGTTGTCAGCAGCGGAACATGAAACGGGCGTGGGATGGTGCAGGAAAGATTTGCGGTGCAAGAGAGTAGTTGCAGGGAAAGGACGGAGCAGGAGAGAGCGGGGCGAAGGAGGGCAGAGCAGGAGAGGGCAGGGCAGGGCAGGTCAGAGCAGGGCAGGGCAGGGCAGGGCAGGTCAGAGCAGGGCAGGGCAGGGCAGGGCAGGTCAGAGCAGGGCAGGGCAGGGCAGGGCAGGGCAGGGCAGGGCAGGGCAGGGCAGGGCAGGGCAGGTCAGAGCAGGTCAGAGCAGGGTAGGGCAAGTCAGAGCAGGGCAGGGCAAGTGCGTTGTAGAAGGGCAAGTGCGGACTGACATTCCAGCAGAAGGCGAAGCTGCACTTGCAGATGACGTCGTAGTGCGTTGAGTCCGGTAGATACTCCACCGCGTACTCACAGCCTGGCGCGGGGCACCACTTGGCCTGTGGGTGGACAGCAGCAGCAGCAGGAGGAAACAGGGAGGGTGGAAGGGTGGAGCGGGAAATGAGGCGTACTTTGAGTCGACTCAAAACACGACACCCAGGGGGCAGGGCACCACTTTGCCCGAGGGTGGGAAGGGGGGGGAAAGGGGGGGCCGGAGGAAAAGAAAAAAAAGACATACTCACAACCCCTTGGCCTGAGCCAGCCGTAAGGGAAGGGAAACGGGATGGAAAGAGGGAGTTGTTTGGAGGAGAGGGAGAGTGGCAAAGGCGTTATAAGTTGAGAGACCAGTCGAATGCGTTGGGTACAGGGTTCACTCCAAAGACCAGTCGAATGGGTACAGCATGAAAGTGAACCAACCCAACCCAGCACAGCCCAGCACAGCCCAGCACAGCACAGCACCGCACCGCACAGCACAGCACAGCACAGCACAGCACAGCACAGCACAGCACAGCACAGCACAGCACCGCACAGCCCTCACATTGCAACAACTGTCGCACTCACATTGCGTTTATCATCCACATAGGAGCGCAGCAGGCACTTGAGGTACTTGGTGCGCAGGGCAGGGTGTCTGGCAGCCCTTTCAGCCCTTTCAGCCTCACAACACAACAAGGCCTGTGGAAGCCGTTCAACTCAACTCCACATCACACATGAGAGCAACACTCACGTGAGCAAGCCAGTCACCACACTCACATTGCGGTTGTCATCCACGTAGGAGCGCAGCAGGTACTTGAGGTACTTGGCACGCAGGGCTGCAGCACTGCACCTAGTCACCCTTATACCCTTTGCACCACTAGACGCCAAAACACGCCATCCAGCTCACATTGCGGTTGTCATCCACGTAGGAGCGCAGCAGGTACTTGAGGTACTTGGCGCGCAGGGCGTCCGGCAGCGACGAGAGCACAAGCTTCTCCCCCACCGCTGCTCCACACGACGGGTCCGGACAGCGCAGGCACAGGCACCCCGGCCCGTCCGCAACAGCCGCCTTGGCGTAGCCTGGAGGAGGGGGAGGGGGGAGAGGAGTAGCGTGCAGGCTCAGACAAACATCCTGACACCCCCACCTGCCACACGAGGGGCCGCAGCGCAGGCACAGGCACCCCGGCCCGCCCGCTACTGCTGCCTTGGCGTACCCTGGGGGAGGGGGAGGGGAGGGATGGGGGGGAGGAGGGGAGTGGTGAGGCACAGCGTTCATGCCCTCCCTTCTCCCCCACCGCTGCGCCACACGAGGGGTCCGGGCAGTGCAAGCAGAGGCACCGCGGCCCGTCCGCCACCGCTGCCTTGGCGTAGCCTGAGAGGAGGGGAAGGGGGGAGGGGGGAGCGAGAGGGAGTGGGATGGAGCAGAGAGAGGGGGAGCACGGGTAGCAGAGAGAGTGGGAGCGGGCGTGAGCAGAGAGGGGGAAGTAAAAAGAAGAAGGAAAGAAATCGAAGGAAGGAAGGAGTGAGGCAGGAAGAACGGGTTGTTTGTGGATGTTGATGATGATTACTCCTAGTATTACCCACCCCGCCAGACCCGCCCCACCCACCTCGCCAGCAGGCTGCACCTTGTTAGAAGGCTGCACCTCGTTAGCAGGCTGCACCTCGTTAGCAGGCTGCACCTCACACCATGCACCGCGTCAGCAGCACACAGCACTGACCTTGCCAGCAGCACACAGCACTGACCTTGCCAGCAGCACACAGCACTGACCTTGCCAGCAGCACACAGCACTGACCTTGCCAGCAGCACACAGCACTGACCTTGCCAGCAGCACACAGCACTGACCTTGCCAGCAGCACACAGCACTGACCTTGCCAGCAGCACACAGCACTGACCTTGCCAGCAGCACACAGCACTGACCTTGTCAGCAGCACACAGCACTGACCTTGCCAGCAGCACACAGCACTGACCTTGCCAGCAGGCGTCACAGAAGAAGTGGTCGAAGCACTCGGCGGGCTTCATGGCGGCCTGCGGGTAGCTCTCAAAGCAGATGCCGCACGTCAGGTGCGGCTGGCAAGAAGTGCAGGGGACAGGGGAGGGGGAAACGAAGGGGGGCATGGGGAAGGGGCTAGAACTCTAACAAGCAGTAGCTCAACGGGCTTCATGGCCGCCTGCGGTGAGGTAGGTCTCAAAGCAGATGCCGCATGTCAGATGCGGCTGCATGCACAGGCAGGGAGCGGGGGGGGAGTGGACATGGGGAAGGGGAATAGCGAGGGGCCTTAACAGGCAGATGCTGCACGTCAGGTGCGGCTGAACAAGACAGGTGGTGAGGGGAGACGACAGGGGCATGGGGACGGGCAAAGGGAGGGATGACTCACTGCAGGGCACGTGGTGGGAACGAGAACAGAGTCTATGCACCATTAACCACCATGCATGCACCATTCACCACCATGCATGCACCATTCACCACCATGCATGCACCATTCACCACCATGCATGCACCATTCACCACCATGCATGCACCATTCACCACCATGCATGCACCATTCACCACCATGCATGCACCATTCACCACCATGCATGCACCATTCACCACCATGCATGCACCATTCACCACCATGCATGCACCATTCACCACCATGCATGCACCATTCACCACCATGCATGCACCATTCACCACCATGCATGCACCATTCACCACCATGCATGCACCATTCACCACCATGCATGCACCATTCACCACCATGCATGCACCATTCACCACCATGCATGCACCATTCACCACCATGCATGCACCATTCACCACCATGCATGCACCATTCACCACCATGCATGCACCATTCACCACCATGCATGCACCATTAACCACCATGCATGCACCATTCACCACCATGCATGCACCATTAACCACCATGCATGCACCATTAACCACCATGCATGCACCATTCACCACCATGCATGCACCATTCACCACCATGCATGCACTATCCACCAGCAATACATGCACCATCCATCCACCATCCATCCGCCATCTAACCATCAGTCATCCGCCATCTATCCACCAGGCCAGTCATCCATCCATCACCATACATATATCAACCATCAACCAGAAACCATCAACCAGAAACCATCCATCCACCAGCGATGCACCGGCCATGCAACACCCGTACAGAGTACTACAAAGCCCACAGCCAACACAGCGGCACCAAACCTGACGCGGTGCCTCTGCTCCCCTCACTAACCAATTGCTACCCTCGCTCCCCTTCCTCCCCTTTCCCCGTTTTCTTCACACCCATCCCTGCCCTCCCTCCCCTCCATTACACCCCACAGCATAGCAGAGCCTCACCTCGGGCTCTTTGCCGGGGCGGCGCTCGGAGGTGGAGGAGAAGGGGGAGTGCGGGGGAGTGCACTACCTCACTCACCACGCTTCCTCCTCTTGCTCACCTCGCCCCCTCACGCCCTCCATTCCACCCCACAGCAGCACAACAACACCTCACCTCGGGCTCTTTGCCAGGGCGGCGGTCGGAGGCGGAGGAGGCGGAGGGGGAGTGCGGGCGCGGCAGCCCCACGGCCTTCCTCACGCGGTCCTCGTCCTGAAACCACTCGTCGTTCACCTGACTCACGCTCCTGGGAGGCATGAGCAGGGAAGCATGTCAGGACGGAATATAATAGGATGCTCTTGCTAAATTGGAGATGTGGACTCTGAGGCACCCCATCAGTCATCTTCCTCCTCACGCGGTCCTCACCCCATGCACTTGCTATTTTTCCTGAACAAATAAGGTTTTTGCTTTACGGAACACACCATTCGAGATTCAGCAAGCCTCACCACTTAGGAGACTGACCACTTGACCCGACCCGACAGACTGATTAGAATACCACTGACAGGGACTGACTGCCCGTTCGAAGGCCTCATCGTATCTAAAGTGACTGACATTTCAACTGGCAGTTCAAGTAACTTATGACTTTCGTAACTGACAACTCAGGTGACTAATCATCAAGTGACTACCACTTGAAAATTCTGACGATTTCAGACACTGACCATTTGAAGTGGCGGAGCAGGATGGCGGCGTCGTCGAGCGGGATGGAGAGGACCGTCGCCACGTCGCCGGTGGCCTCCTGCTGCCGCTGCAGAATGTCCTTCTCCGACAGAATCTTGTACCGCACCTGCGTCGTGTATTACAGAGTCCATTTCGCAAATGATGGGAAATAGGAAGGAGCACAACGGGCTGCCGTTTTTTGAGTCGACCCAAAAGCCTCCTGCTGCCGCTGCAGAATGTCCTTCTCCGACAGAATCTTGTACCGCACCTGCTCCGTGTATTGGAGACTACGAATTCGCATATGATGAAAAATACGGAGAAGGAGCACAAATGGCCTGCCGTTCCCATATGCGTCTGCGAGGTGGTGGTTAATACGATTAAGAACGTCGGAAATAAAAGCCACGACGGACTAATTTCTTGAATAACTAGCGTCAGGAGGCGAAAACGCCGGGCCACCGGAATCGAAATTCGGCCACTGAAGAATTCTAAATTGGTTCTAGCCGCACCTATCTGAGTCGCAGCACGGAATCGTCCTCATCAACGTCTGGATCGTCGAAGCCATAATCCTCGTCGGTCCCGAGTTGTCCCTAGTCTCAAAAGAGACTCGGAAAATTCGCCTATTAACACACATTAAACAGGCCGCATCCCCACCTGTCTGGGTCGCAGAACGGGATCGTCATCGTCAACGTCGGGGTCGTCGAAGCCATAGTCCTCGTCGTCGTCCGAGTCGTCCACCTGCTCCTCCTCCTCCGAGTCCTGGTAGTAGTCCTCCTCGCTGTCCGACATTTTAATTAGCCGGAATGCGAAACAAAAAAAAAAAAAACCTATATAGGGATGAAGCGCCGCTTCTTATAGAAAATTCCCGATCGAGGATACTGCGGGTACAAGAAGGAAGCGGTCGGCTGTGAACTGGAAATACTCCTGCAAGAAATGCTAAACGGAGCGAAGCAAAAAAACTAGGTCGCTAACTTGAGATTGCCTTATTCCTCTGGAGCACTGTGGTACTCGGCAAAACTAGGATCTAGCCTTATTCCGCGGGAAAAGGTATGTCAAGCGTCAGATTTCTAAGCCTTATTCCGTTGCAGTCACTAATCTCGCTGGCGAAATCTGGCGCTGGTTCACTAGCAAGTAGGTCTGCGGGTCGACAGTTCTGTGGAATCGTCAATCACACTGGCTCCTCGCAACGAGGTCAGTCACATACTGGTGACGGACGGCCATACAAGGACAGGACTGAATCCAACCCAAGCCCCTTTCTCTGGTGCACTCCACTGTAGCGCAGCTCAAGACTCGTGGGCGATATCGGAGCACACAACAAGAAGTAATCTTTGACTCACACAGGTTCTGCCATTCGCGCTGCATCCCTTTCATTGCCTTGCCCTGGACGATCTCGAGGTTCACGTAACACGTTACATGTGGCGTGTGATTGCGGGCGACGCTTGAGTGCCGTACAAGCGACGGCTGGCGAAACCCTAGACCTTCGTGCATGTGTCGTACCCACTTCCGCAACTTTGACTTTGAAGGTCCAACGGAAGGTCTCCGATAATGTATCATACGCTGTACACTCCAACGGCATTCATGTTGCGAACTACACCATATACTAACGAAAGTGGATTATAACCAATGGGAGCCCCGTGAAGTCTTCGAAGCAAAGGGGATGGACCATGTTGACCTTTTTACGAGCTGGAAAATGCTTGTTTCGCTTTTGGAACTTCCACATGGACCGGCTGGCGTATCCACGTTGAGAAATCAACATCTGTGGCAACTTTTCACCAACTCAGTTCCTGCAGAGCACCACCTATATCGTTGCACCACCAGCCACCATTCCACCTGTTGACTGTGTACGGCTCTTCTTTCGTATCCTAGCAGCCCTTTTTCTTATCATCTCTCGCTCCTCCTTTTCCTTCTCCTCCTTCCTCCTCCACTCATCCCTCACCTCCTCCACACTCCTATACGGCTCCTCCACATAGTCCGGTCGGAACCGCCTGTCTTGATGGCCCTGGTTCCCCTTGAGCACATTCGTCCTCACCACCCCAATGTGCTGGAAGAGCGACGGGATGTGCACATACGCCCGCGGGCGACGCCCCTCACCACCACCACCACCACCACCACCACCACCACCACCACCACCACCACCACCACCACCACCACCACCACCATTACCACCGCCTCCACTGCCACCACCATCCTCCCCTGCGGCACTCCCACCACCGTTTTCCCGGACAGCACCAGAGAGGAGGTACTCATGGATGAGGAGGTCGAGGGGGGCGCGCATGAGCCCCGCCTCCACGTGCGCCAGCAGCCCGCCCACGGTGGACGCGTTCAGCAGCAGCGCCTGGGCGCAGCAAGGGACTGGGTATTCCGCCCCGTGGGCCAGCTTCCACCCGTACGTCTGTGGGTAGTACAGCGACAGCACGTCCCAGACAGGGTATCTCGAGTGCGAGCCACGGCCCTTGTTGCCACTCTCAACCGCTCCCAACCTCCCGTTCTTGCTCTCCTGCGCCTTCTCCTCCTCCCTCTCCTGCTCCCTCCCCTGTCCCCCCTCCTGCGTCCCGTCCCTTCCCCTCTTCCTCTCTCTCCCCTCTTCCTCTGCTCTCTCCCGTGCGCCCACCACTCGTGGCAGGTCCACGGCAACGAACCGCTCCAACCCCACGTCCCACTGCCACGCTGGCACCACGTCATCCTGCAGCAGCAGCACCATGCGCGCGCCCGTGTGCGCGCACTGCCTTACCACGTGCACCGTGTCCATCGCCAGCTTCACATGCCACCGCCACCGCTCCCACCCCTCGCTCTCCACCACTCCCGCCGACACTTTGTTAAGTAGCAGAAGTGGGTCGTCTAGGAGGGCGCAGATGGCCGGGTGTGCAGGTAGGATGTCGATGGGGAGGGCGAGGGCAGCGGAAGTGGCGCGGATGGCGGCGGTGTGGGGGTCAGCGAGCGGGTTGAGGCGCGCGGCGGTGGCGAGTGTGGCGACGAGGGCGCGCGTGGAGGCGAGAGAAACGTTGGTGGCACGGGTGAGGCGGTGAGCAGCGAGATCGTAGGAGGCTGGGATGTGGAAGCGAGGAGGGGAGGAGGTGGTGGTGGAGGAGGAAGAAGATGCACCTTTCTCTTCCCCTGCACGTTTGTTCCGCTCGACCCCCCTCACAGACCCGCTATCGTGTCCATCCCTCTCTTTCTTCCCCTCCTCTCCCTCCGCCACCTGTTCCGCCATCTTCCGCACATCCCGCACGTGGCATCCCCCGCTGTACACCACAACGCGCATGGCCCGGTCGAACAGCCCCGCGCCCCTCTCCGCGAATGCGCGCCAATTCTTCGGCCCGCGCGGCCGCGCCCCCGCGCGCCTGGCGTCGAGCGCCTTGAGCAGGTTCGTGACGGTGAACCACGGCGCGCGGATCATCCGCGGATCCGGGCGCGGGGAAGACGCGATCGCAATACACAACCCGCTTTTGCGCCCGCCGCCAATGCGTCGTCGTCGGCGGCGGCGGCGGTGCTTGCGCGCGCGATTTTGCTCCCTGCCGAGGCTGGCTGTGTTGGTGTCATTTTGAGGATTTGCCGCAGATTGCGGGAAGAGCGGGTCGGCAGAACGCGGATAAACGGTGGGCGGGACGCGAGGGGCGAAAAAATCGGCGGGTAAGAGGCTCCGGAGATGGAGGGGATGATAATGGGCGGAATGCGGTTGGAGGGAAGAGGAGGAGCTGCTGAACTCGTCGCTGCCTGGCTGGATGCTGCTCGATTTCACAGATGTAGAACCTACAGACCTTGGTGCAGTATCGGTTGAGAGACGTGACTTTAACGGGAGCTCTTGTGCTCGTGTCGGCACTTCACTCAAAATGCGGCGTTGAGCGAAAATCACTAATCCCACCAGAGCCGAAACGAAGAGAAAAACGAAGAGGTTCCGCGCTGTGGCGCTGCGACGCGCCGCGAATGGGCTGCGAGGCTTTGTTGAAAACACTATCTTCGACTGAGCGCGTGGACGAGGCATCGACGTCTGTCGTTGTCGTTCGAATATTTAGGAGCTCCTGGCTAGGCAGCATGTGCTGCCTGGACACTCAGTTCTGACAACCAAGACACTGCGACAAATGGGCTTGAACAGAATGATTCGTTACTACATCGAAGTGTAAAATATAAACCACGCAGCTTCAAACAAAACGGGTACGAGATATCGAGTTGAATTGAAAGGTTAACTCCTCGGCAGGGCATGAGCGAATCCCAAAAGCGTCATCGCAGTTTCCCCCCTCCAGGAAACACTTGCACCTACACCTACCCCACCCCACCTCCCGCCACAACCCTAATTCTTCCCCGCTCCGCCCACTTTCTTTCCGCTTCACTCCACCACATCCGCCAGCATCAATTCTTCCCCTCGCCCACTTTTCCCCCAGCACTCTCCGCTCCCCTCCCTCCCCAACCTTACCCCGCCTCGGCTCGCCTTGCCTCCCACCACAACTCTCCTCACTTCATCTCTCCCTTGCAGCTGCCCAGTCCTCCCACCTTGCCTGCCACTACACCTGCTTGGTGTGGCCCATCAAGTTTCTCCCTTCACCTAGTTTCCGTTCCTTTTCTCCTCCTCCTCTCCTCCTCCTTGTTGAACAGACCCCCCTTGCAACCATGGTGAAGTACCGGGTGCGTATTCCAATTGTACCTTTTATTTCGCGTCGCCTAATCCGTCGTCGTTACGATGTACCTTGCTGACCGTATCGGATTCAGCTCCCAACGGTTGTAGCTGCCTCCTGTTAGCACCGGCAATTTTCCTTAGTTAACAATTGTTTCTAAGCCTAGGTTTTCCTCCATCGTCCTGCTCTCGGGATGCTGAAGCGTTACTGTTATGGAAATTCTGAGGCACTTGAGTTTACGACGATATCGTTCGCGTTCATCCTGCTTGCATTACGCGCCGTTTCGCGCGATACGGTGTTACGAACCTCCAGAGGAGCCGCACCATCCGTTAGCCCTTTCGCCTCATTCCTCCCCTACGCTCTCTTTGCGCTCCACCGGCACCACGTCGCCGTCTTATTCGTCAAGACAACCCTCCTTCGCCACGCCGCCCCATCTTCTCCCCTCCTTTCCTCCCCCCTCCCCCTCCCCTCCCCCCTTCCCCCCCTTTCCCCTCCCCACCCCCTCTCCCCCCGGTTCGTCCTTCCCCCCTCCTCCCCGCATGCCGCGCGGTGCGGTGCGTGCAGTTCCACCAGTACCATGTGGTGGGGCGCATGAACCCGAGCCCCAACGACCCCACGCCCAAGATCTACCGCATGAAGCTGTGGGCCATCGACCAAGTGCGCGCCAAGAGCAAGTTCTGGTGAGTGATCTACGCGGGCAAGCGCGATACGAGGTGCTGAGACGGAGACGGAGTCCAGTGGCGCTGGTGGGGTGCACGCTGTGTCGATGCAGTCGAGACGCTCGTCGCAGCTGTCGGTTGGCGGATGGATTGGCGTGGTGCGCTAGGACTGCCTGGGATCGGCGTGCGAGCTGGCGTGTAGACTAGAACATGAAGTGTCGATCGGAGATGGGGGAAGGAGGCTGAGATGGCTGTTTGGTCGCCGTTGTGGAACATGGGGGCTGGGGGAGCGTGACTTTTGAGAGGAATCCTAGCGAGCTGGGAGCTCGGAGGCTGGATGCGCAGAGTGGGTCGGTCGGGAGCAGCTTCGCGCGCGGAAGTTAGGGCTATGTCGTACCGTGTCGCAGTAATGTTCGTGGGACGCCATGGTTTCTCGTTAGCCTAGCGCCGATCCATCTCTGTAGCAACCCCGCCGTAGATGAGACGTTTTATTTCGATCAGCTTGCTCCGATTCGCGTCGCCCGTGTGGGCCGAGCACCTACCGCGTTGAGTCCGCGTAGCTCTTGACCTTTCTCGCGGCCAGCCACTGGTTGGACCCTGGCGTAGCGTTTGGCGGAAGCGGTCGATGGCTTATGAAGAATAGATCGTAGCTGGATTTCGATTTGAGACACCTTAGGAACGTCCCAAGCTGCTGAAGTCGCGACATTCCGTTTCATGCACCTTTTATGAAACCTCTTCAGCCGAATAGTTTGCTGATTCGCAAATCAAATTCAGTTATAAGTGCTGGCGTGAGTTTCAGACTGTCGCTCCATCTCCCCTTCCCCCCCTTCTCCCCTCCACTCCCTTGTGTTGTATCCGCAGGTATTTCTTGAGTCAGCTGCGTAGAGTGAAGAAGGCTCACGGTCAAGTCCTAGCTATCAACGAGGTGAGTAGTAAGTTCAAGAGGTAACTTCACGGGTGTTCAATGGGGGTTGACGACGCGAGTGTTGGGCTCCATTCAGGTATACCGTCTTCTGTAAAGTCGGGTTTCCAACATTTCACAAGGGGTATAGTTTGGTCATTGGTTCGGGTATGTGCTTCACATTAGGTCTTCGCGGCCTCTTCTTCCTCGAATTTTCTCCGAATCATTGTACTGGGGAGTGCGTTGTTGCCACGCAAGTCGTTGCCAGCCGTTAGCCGGGTAGGCTGAGAGCGTGAGGCCGGTTGTCGGAGATGTCACGCCTCATAGGCATGGAGTGAGTGGAGTCTGCTTTTGAGTTGTTTCTTACCGCGCGGGTTTTGTCTGACAGCTCCTGTTGTTGCGCAGCAGTGTGGAGATAGAACCGCGACAGTTTCTATTTGAGCGTTCAGGGTTTAACGACCCTGGCTTTCAGGAACAGCCTGTGTGAGACGGACCAACGGCGCCGTAGCCGTTAACGATAGGGGCTGTGGCCGAGTGGGAGTGAGAGTGTCTTGGGGATGACGAACCATTCAAGATGACGAGTCGGAGCCGTCAGGCCGTGAAGACCAACACGAGGCATTTGTCTGAAAGATTCTCCCCCGACCAATTGGAGCCCTTAATCGATCCTCGTCACTGTGAAATTAGATAAGCGTCAGAGCAAGATTTTAGGATTGCCGTCGATCCGAAACCGATGTAGAAGGTAAACGAGAGATGAGCCGTAGCCGCTGCGTTACATTGTCGCTGATCTACGGCGACTGACTGTAAGAGGGCGTTTTAATGACGAATATTAGCAAATGACGGGTCGTAGCCGAATAGTGGGACGAGAAACGTGAGGCATTTGCCAGGAAGTCGCTCGCTCCAGCTTTATCGATCTCCTTACCCATGTGTGCAGCAAATCGTTCGTACTTACTCCGTTTTATCCCGAGTTTAGCTAACGTATACCGTGTTTGGACTGGTGTCTTGATGATGACGACACGATTAAGATGACGAGTCGTAGCTCGCGAGCAGAGACGACAAACACGAGGCATTTGTCTGAGAGATACCCGGTCCAGTTTTATTGATATCCCTTTTCCTCATTCCGCCACCTTCGTACTCATCTACCCCCTTTTTTTTTCAAGGTACGTTACTGAACCTTCGATGTCTTGATGATGACAAAAACTTTTCAAGATGACGAGTCGTAGCCTGCAGGCACTGACGACAAACACGAGGCATTTGTCTGAATGACATCGGATCTGATTTTGAGGAATTATGGTTCCAGTCCTTCTCCTACCCTCCTTTTCGTATGCTTCTTCCCAGTCTACGAGGTACTGTCCGAGAACTTGGTCAGGTATCACAGCAACCCGTCATGTGAGGTGACTTTTGAGTCGACTCAAAAGTCACCTCGTTATGCTTCTTCCCAGTCTACGAAGTACTGTCCGAGTACTTGGTCAGGTATCACAGCAACGCACCATGTGCACGAGTCGAGTCGAGTCGAGTGGAGTGGATGTCTTGGTGATGACGACACCAACAAGATGACGAGTCGTAGCCGATTGGCTCTGACGACAAACACGAGGCATTTGTCTGAAAGGCACCGACTCCGTATCTCGTTTTCCCTTTTCTTGTTCTCAGTTCGCTCATTGGCCAGATCATCTGGCTGTTTCTCCATCCTGCTATTCCCAAGCACCAGTACTTGGAACAGCAAGAGTTCACGGCTTTCTTGATGATGTCAAAAACTATTAAGATGACGAGTCGTAGCCGATAGGCTCTGACGACACAACGAGGCATTTGTCTGAAAGATATCCGGACTTGTTCTCGTTCTGATCATTCATTGTTGGTCCTTGACCCTCATCATCATTCAATGTATCAAGGTATGGTATCAAGCGCTGTTTCGGGGTACTGTGCCAGGAGCTTTACTGTCTTAATGATGTCAAACACTTTGACATGACGAGTCGTAGCCGATAGGCTCTGACGACACAACGAGGCATTTGCCTGAGAGATATCCGGTCCAGTTTTCGTTCTGCTCTTTATTGTTGATCCGTGACCCTTATCGTCATTAAATCTAAGAAGGTATGGTATCAAGCGCTGTTTCGGGGTACTGTGCCAGGAGCTTTACTGTCTTAATGATGTCAAAAACTTAATAAGATGACGAGTCGTAGCCGATAGGCTCTGACGACACAGCGAGGCATTTGTCTGAGAGATATCTGGTCCA